CCTCAATGAGATAAAAGCTCACACTTTGTGATGGCTGTTACCAAAAAAAATAAAAAATTGCAAGTGTGAGTGAGACTACAGAGACATTGAACCTGGGCACATTATTGATGGATGTGCAAAATGGTACAGCTGCTATGGAAAACAGAGTGGAGTCTCCAGAAAAAAATTAAAAATAAAACTACCATATGACCCAGAAATTCAACATCTGGTATTTATCTAAAAGAAATGAAATGAGGACATTGAAGCGATAGTAGCACTGCCAGGTTCATAGCTAGGATGTGGAAACAGCTCACTGTGGAGCACAGCGTGTCATTGGATGATTTCACCGTCATGCCAACATCACACACTATAATCACACAAGCATAGGTGGTCTGGCCTACTGCACACCATGGCCTGGGATCTAGCCCGTTGGAATCACCACTGACCAAAAAAAGCCAGTAAGTCGTAACTGACTGTGGACTCCCAAAGGCATACTACTCAGCCTTATAAAAGAAGTTCGTTCTGCCTTTTGCAATAGCACAGATGAAGCTTGAGGACATTTTGCTAAGTGAAAAAAGCCAGTCACAGGAAAACAAATAATGTATGGATTCCACTTGTGTAAGGTATGGAAAGTCACCACCATACCCTAGAATCAGAGTGAAATGGAAATGGTGGTTGTCAGGAAAATGGAAAATAAGATGTTGCTAATCAAGGAGCACAAGTTTTAGTTAAACAAGATGAATAAGCTCCAGGGAACTGCTGTTAAGTGTTCTTACCACAATAAAATGAAATGTAGGGCTCTCCCTGGTGGTGCAACAGGTTAATGCACCACATTATGAAGCTCTCTGACGCCACTGCAGCACGAGTTGGATCCCAGCGTGGAGCTCACCCACATGGCACGGCAGAAACTCTTCTGACCGTCCGCTGCTCCCCTCCGCAGTGTACTTCGTCGATCTGCCTGTTCTGCTCCCCACTCTGTCTCTGGTGAAGCCTATCACCGACCTGCACCTCTGGCCTGTAACCCAGTTCTGTAAGCATAAATAAATAAAATCTTTTTTAAAAAAAAATGAAATGTGAAAAAATTTGAGGGAAGTGTTGTTGCAAACCTACCAAGGGGTGCACTGACCACAGCGTTCACCACCCGTCCGCCTATCGCCCAAACGACTGCCGCCGGAACATAGGAGACTTGGAGATGTGAGAAAGCAAAGCAGGAACCTGGGATCTGAAGTCCAAAGTCTGTTTATTAGGACTGCCCATGGGTATATATAGGGTCTGTAGGTGCAGGGAAAAACAGGTAATGCGCCCAGGAAATGTGCCTGACGCAAAGTGTGGGGTGCATGTTTGTACCACACCTGGGGCTTCTTGTAGCTTCTACTTGAAACAAAGTAGTAGGCTGCAGCTCTTTGCAGGACAGAGTGCACTGTGCTCTGCTGACTTGTTTGTTGGCCTTGCTGGGGAGTGTGCTCACCGATGCACAACATTAGCCAGGGCGGACAGGTGCAATTGAGGCCCTGCCCAGTTAGCCACAAAGTGTTAACTCTCTGGGGTGTTCTTTTTGAAGCCAAAGAGAATTCAAAGAGACCGCCTTTCTCCCTCATCGAGTGCTGTTATTAAAACGATCTTCTGCTGACTCTAACGTCACCATCATGCTGTTGTACTTTGTTCTGGACAGAAAGGTGAAGCACTGAATATACAGTGGAAACCTTACATCCACTTCCTTACTTGTTTGATAGCACAACCCTCCAAGACAGGTGGTTTGTCCATTTTACAGATCAGCAAACTGAGATGCAGAGAGATGATGGCACTTAGCCAGTCACACAAGTAGGAAGTAACCGAGCAGAACTGGGATCCAGAGTTGTGTGACCTTTCATCATTACCCTCTGCGAGCTGAACCCCCTCTCTTCTCTTCAGCCCTATCTAGACCACCCACATCTGTCCAACGGGCCAGGATTCCTTCTGGAACAGGGTTTTCCCAGAGCTGTGGTGCTTTGTCATTATTGACCAAACAATACTGGAATATTTCAGAAGCTGAATTACTTCTCAGACACAGGTTGGGTGGGTTTGTTGTTGGTGATTTTTGTTGTTGTTGTACTATTAGCTTGTTTTTCCAAACTGCAAATCAAAGCATTCTCTGCTCCCTTTTACTAGTAACTTAGCTTTGTTTTATGGTTTGGGGGTTGGTTTGGCTTTTACTTCTTAGGAATTGTTCAAAACCCAAAGTGAACTTGGCTTAGTCAGGAGGTGTCCATAGGCCCGGCTGTCCTTTCTACACTCGTCCATTTGGGGCCTTTACCCATTTCAGCAAGGAGCAAACTTGGGAGGCCCCTTCCATGGGAGGCCCCCACCAGGCAGAAAAATCTAAGGTCCACCACCCAGCTCTCCCCAAATAGTGTCAATGGCCAGCTTCAGGCCTCTTCTTTATGTTATTTATCCAGTGAATACTTCTAACCAGGCACCAAGGTCTCTCCCACACTACCAAAACACACAGGAAGATGGAGTAGGAATAGCCCGTACCCCTGAGCTATCTTCTGGGCTTGGGGTGGAGGGGCTAGATCTCAAATCAGCAGAGCCTCCATTGCCCCATCTCTAAAATGAGCCAGGCCTCCCAGGATTATTATATGACATGATGCAGACAGATGCATTTTGGGAGCCATTGAGCACTGAGCCAACATGGGGAATGTTGTTATTACAGTCTGGGGCCAGCCACAAGATATCTGCACACAAAGCAGCCAGGACAAACCACAGTCCAGCATATAATCAGCTCCTTCATTATGTGGTTCCAACTGCAAGAGCTGCAGAATTTCAGCGGAAACAGAGACCCACAGGGACCCCCACGACAGCAGAAGAGTGAATACTTGCTGCTCCAAACCAGAAGGAAAGGGAGTCAGAAATGGGATTTGGGAAGTTCCTGCTCTCTCCTTCTCAGGATCTTACTCTCTGACCTAGAAAAAGGTCAGTCTCTATGGACTTGCTACTGTGAAGGAACTACTTCAAGGCTAATTAAAAAAAAAAATCAATGAACCACAAATGCCAAACCCTTTTAGGTCAATATCCTTCCCTGCAAAATAATAATAATAGTAATAGAGAATAGACAGTGATCAGACAAGGACAAAATTAATCTACCCCACATGTTTCCACTTTATGTCTAGAGTAGGGTATGTCCGAAGAATGTGCTTTAAAGTCACATCCTATCTCAAAGGTTACATGGGGTCAGCACCTGCAGTGGAATATTATTTAACCCTGAAAAGGAGGGAGACTTTCAACATGTGCTACAACCTGGATGAACTTTGAGGACATTATACTAAGTGTGAAATCAGAAAGTCACAAAATAACAAATACTGTGTGGTTCCAGTGTATCAGGTACCTAGAGAAGTCAAATTTCTAAAGACAGAAAGTAGACAGTAGTCTTCAGAGACTGAGAAGATAGGGAGTTGTTATCTAATAGTACAGGGTTCTAGTTTTACAAGATTAAGAGTTCTGAAGATGAATGGACAGGATGATAACAATATGAATATGCTTAAAGCCACTGAAATGTATACTTAATGATGGTTAAGATAGTAAATTTTATGTCTTTTACCACAATTAATTAAAGCTTTTGAAAAATAAATCACATAAGGTTAAAATACCCAGGAAACCCTCTAGAAGGTACCACACTGGACACTTCCATTCATCTCCCCATTACCCTAGAATTAGGAACAGCACATCACTTATGACTAAACTTTTAGACATTTGCAATACAGGAAAACACAAGACACATGTCTTTCCCACCCAGATTCACACTGTGTGACAAAAAGGCATAAGAATGGAGCACTGAGGCCTGGGCAGAGCTGCAGAATCCATCTACCTTGAGGGCACACAAGGGTGGGGGAAACAGCTGAGCCCTGTATATCCCCAGCACAAACACAGGCTCAATAAAATGTGTGCATGAAAAAAAAAAAAGTGTGCATGAAGCTTATTGCAGTCAGATCTGTATCCGCCTGGGCCCTGGGAAGTGTAAGTATTGATAAGCTGAGTTGTTTACTCATTACAGAGTCTTGTCTTGGTTTCAGACTCTGTCATGAATGGGATCACCCTATACTTCTCTCTCGTTTAGCACAGTACAGGGCTGGACACAAAGAATGTCTGTTGGATCTCTGAGTAATCTGTGGGTAGATAAGCCAGCACCACAAATAGCAGTGCCACTCTGCCCCCCAACCACCTCCTTACTTGCCCCACTGGCACAGACATTCGAAGCTCCACTGATGAGCTGGGTAGCTGGGTGGCCTGGAACTAGGTGGGGAGATCCCAGGATGTCTAGCCTCTACCCAAATCATAAAAAAGTCCCTTCAACGCTGAAGAGCCGTGAGTTAGGACATATTTGGGAGCTTGCTGGAAACAACTTAAATGTTCGCCATATGTCTGTATAAAAGACACCCAATATTTAGCATGGATGGTGTAAGAACTTGGCTTGAAGTTCATATTTTATTATGTTTTCCAAATAGGAGCATGATATATACAAATATGCCTCTGATATACAGGTGTATATACAGATTCTGTGGAGGGGGCGAAAACTCAAACCAGCAGCATCACCAGGAAGCTTACTTAAAATGCCTGTTCTCAGGTCCTACCTTAAACTTGAATTCAAAAATAGGGGGTGGAGGGCCCTCCTGGCGGTGCAATGGGTTAAAGCTCAGCACTAAGAAGCTAAAACCACTTCATTATGAGTTTCATCCCTGCCCCGGAGGTGACCACATGGCGCAGCAGACCTCTCCTGACCTACCCGCTGCTCCCCCTCAGCAGTGTACTTTGTCAGTTGGCCTGTTCTGCTCCCCACTCTGTCTCTGGTGAATCCTCTCACCACCCCTGTACCTCTGGCCTGTACCCCAGTTCTGTATGCATAAATAAATCTTTTTTAAAAGGGGGGGGTGGGGCCAACAAACCGGCATTTTCACAAGTCCCCCAGGTGACAGATGCCTGCCTAAGTTTGAGAAGCCCTGGTATTCCTTTCCTTCCTATGGCTCACCTATACTTGTCTCCCCCAGGCCCTGATCCAGCTTCCGCCATACATCTCTCAGTGTGATGAGGTGCTGCAGTTCTTTGAGACAAGACCTGAGGACCTGAATCCCCCCAAAGAGTAAGTTGGTTTGTGGCCCTCCCAGAGCATGCACAACCCCCCCATGTCACCGGGTCAGCCAGCCCCAGGAGGATCTGGAGGAAAGCCAAGCACAAGTTAGACTGGGTCCCAGTTGCTGAGAATGGGTAGCAGGCATGGAGGTTTACAGATGAAGGAGCTGGCTGACTTTCTTCTGCAGCCCCTTACCACATCTGGGCACCCCAGATGTGCCCACGGCAATCCTAAGAGAGCACTGGAACTGAGACCGTGAGCATGAAATGGATTGAGATACATTCGGAGGTAGAAGCGCTCAGGGCTACTTGAGATGTAAATGAATGAGTGTGACTGACTGAGATCTACCTGCTCAGTCTCCCATCACCAGCGAGTTGGAGGCCAGGATTTGAACCTAATCAGCCAGGCTCTGGAACAGTCCAAATATCACTGCAGTCCCTGCTCCCCCATCTTCTCCCTGCAGCAACAGTGTGAATGACCCCTCAGCTCTGAGCTGCATTTCTTGCTCCCAACAGCAGTAACGAGCTAGGCTGTGTTTGTCAGTGTTTCCCAGTGTTAAGTGCTTTGTGTATGTCGAGTAGAAGGAAATGAATCTGTTGAAGCCATGAAGTTTATTTTTTAAATCAACCTGTAAGGACAGAACAGCAGAGAGTTTTAACAGTGCAGTCGGTCCCATTTAGATTTTGGTGCCTGACTGCAGAATCAAGTTCAGAAGTCACAGGCAGTGAGTTGATCACGCAGAACTAGTGGTTTAACGGCCACACAGATGAGTAAACTTAACTCCCTGCAATAAACATTCCAGTAAATACCAGTTCTTAGGAAAAGAACAGTGAGCAATTACAGCTAATCAGAGCCAGCACGCCAGCTTTGGAATTAAGCAAGCAGGACCTTTTGTAAGTGACCCAGTGAACCTTTCAATAGAATGTCTTAATGACATGTGGATTTTTTTTAATGATACAGAAATAATGTAAATCTGATAATGGACATTCAGCCCATCCTGGCTATTTCTACTCTTGGTGCCTCTAGCATTTGTTTCTTGGTAAACCTTTCACAATTTTTATTGACCTAACCAGATATGGTGAAATATTCTTAAAATTTGTCTACAGTCCTCCTAGGATTTCAGGGTTAAGCTGCCAACCTCTGACTTCAGTTCTGATTTCTAGAGTGAGGTGAACCAGAGACAATGGAGCTTAGAGTGTTCAGTTTCCACCTCATTCTCAACAAATTTTATGGATGAGAAAGCTGAGGCTCAGAATCACAAGAGACACAAAAGTTGCAGGTGAATTTTCTCCAGCTCTGCATAAATCTTAAACTAAGCCCCGTGCAGCCTCTGTGTGTGTGTGTGTGTGTGTGTGTGTGCACACACATATGTGGCTCCCACACCAGGAGCCCCCAAGCTTTAGAGAAAGAGCCTGGATTTGCAGTGAATGACACCCGGGTTCAAATCCTACCTCCACCTGACTTAGGTACCCACATAACCCTGGGTACATAACCCTGGGCCTCCCTTGCAAAAGGAAATAGCAATCCTTAGGATTACAGGGGGAATTGAATGACCATTAAGTAAAAATTCCACTGACTTGCCAAGTGCTCAAAAAGTGGTGGCCCATGACATTTTTTCTCAGAACAACTAGCCATAGCTGCTTTTACTCCAGGAGTTGATCAAGACATCCAGCTGATCGACCCTTAGCAGGGAGAATTGCTTGACCACTTTCAAATTGGTGAGCTTGGTGGATTGCTTCCCAGCTCTGTGCCTCGGTTTCCTATCCTACAAGATGGACTGCATGACCCCTTGTAGTGTTGCTTGGGAACCTACTGAGGAGCTCCTGGCAGGTGGGGTGCATACCAGCCTGGTGCCTGCAGGCACCAGAAGGAGCATCTGAGGGCGAGAATCAGCCTGGATGTGGGTTCCTTGGGTTGCAGGATTCAGCAACGTGTAGATTTTCTCCTACTTCATCTTAGGGTTCCAGAGAACTCAACCTTTGTGGCGATCACAGACAACATGGAGAACCCAATAAGAGCTTTCTTCTTTACCCCAAAAGGTGGTTGCCCCCAATTTCGGGAGGTCCTCACTTAGCCAAAGCCCACACTTTTGTTAAGAACCACTGCCCTGGTGCCTTTCCTGAATGTTAATTCTAGAATTTCTTTGGCCTCCTGCCTGGAGAGAGTAGGGGAAGCAGGTCCCCAGCTGCTGATCAGGCATTTGACGAGCTTTTGGACTGACAGGAGAAAGCCCAGAGCAGGGGCAGCCTGCTGTGCTTGAGAAGAGTCTGGGGACCTTTGCTCATGAATGAAGGACACAGGACAGGATACAGAGCAGAGTCAGCTCTCCAGGGAGCAGGGGCTGGTGTGTTGGCACTTCATAGTAGTCAAAGCAGAACATTCCCCACTTGCTAGAAGGAACATTCTAGACCCGTGCTGTTCCGTGGTGTTGGCATTCTTCTTTCATCAGCTCATAGGTATTGAGGACCTGCCAGAGTCCTAGGCATAAGGAGGCAGAAGCAGGGTATGGAGGGGTGTGTGGACAGGGCTGGCCATCAGCCAGCTGTTCTACCTGAGCAGAGAGGTCCCCTCTCCCCTTTTGTCCCTCAGTGGCTTATATTACAGGCTTATTAAGAGGCTGAAATGAAATAGGAAGTAGGAAAATGAAGGCTTGGGCAACAGTGAATTTTTTTAGTTTGGGGCTCTGAAGTCATGTGACATGCCCACCCTCCCACCTTCCCTCTGGGTATTATGTGTAATAATTCAAAGGGTAAATAAACCTTTCCCCAGTGTCCTGGAGTTAGAATTTTGTTCTGATACTTTTAATTTTTAATTTTTTTTTTTTTTTATGTTCTGATACTTTTAAAGGGGAATCCATTCCATCATGTCAGGGTGGAGGGGAAAATCCCCCACCCACCAGGGGGCTCTTCTGAGGCTGGACAAGTTAACAACAGGTTAGCAGGAGAAAAGTTTAATGACGTGTATAGAAGCTTTACATGGTTGTGTATTGTAGAGTAAATGAGGGCTTATAATCTGTGCTAAAGGGTTTGGGGCATCAAGGAAAGAGGGGGATCTCACATGTCCAGGAAGGGAACTATAACTTCCTGGGACCAGACCTTGCCACTGGAGTTTTCTGTCCAATACAAAGGTTTTCTGGAGAAATTTACGGAATCACTAGGGAAGTGTAAATGATCTGCACTATTTATTGGTAGTAGTTTCTCCCATAGGCTGCTTTTGATCTTAGCTCCATATGTCAAGATGACACTTCTAGGAAAAAGCCTATTTGAACTTTTTTTTTTTTTTTAAGATTTATTTATTTAAGGGCTCTCCCTGGTGGCGCAACAGGTTAAAGCACCGCATTATGAAGCTCTCTGAAGCCACTGCAGCACAAGTTCAATCCCCGGCCAGAGAGCTGACCCACATGGCGTGGCAGACCTCTCCTGACCCACCCACTGCTCCCCTCAGCGGTGTACTTTTTGTCAGTCTGACTGTTCTGCTCCCCACTCTGTCTCTGGTGAATCCTCTCACCACCCCTGCACTTCTGGCCTGTATCACAGTTCTGTATGCATAAATAAATAAATCTAAAAAAAAATTATTTATTTATGCTTACAGAACTGGGGTATAGGCCAGAGGTGCAGGGCACTGAAAGGATTCACAGAGACAGAGTGGGGAGCAGAACAGACAGATGGACAAAGTACACTGCTGAGGGGAGTGGGAGGGATAGGAGAGGTCTGCTGCACCGTTTGGTCACTTCCAGGGCTGGGTATCGAACTCGCACTGAAGCAGCTGCAGCTAGCTTGCAGTGCTATGTCCTAACCCACCTAACCCGTTGCACAACCAGGAGGGCCTATACTGACTTCTTAAATGGGAATAATAATACCTACTTTGAGAGTGATGGAAGACTTGGGTATATAATGTGTATCGAGGGCCAAGCACATGTGAGGAGTAAATCTCTGAAAGGACTGGAACCATAAGGAGATGCATGTTCTCCTGGGAAGAGCAGTCTTCCCTCTCAGGCCTCCCAGATGGTTCTGCTTCCCTCAGTCTCCCTGCAAAAACAGCAGACCTCCGTGCAGCTCATTCAAATGCCTTCATTGCGCATTTTCCCCACCACCCACACTGAAAGCCTGAGAAAAACACACCCAGATCCTGCCTTTGGGTGGCTGGAGGGCTGGTGGGCATTTCTTGAACTAGAAAATAGTTCAAGCCAACTTGGCATTGAAGTTAAAGAGTCAGAGGCTCTGGGTTCTATAATAATCAAAAGTGCAAAGGAAAATCTCTTTGTTCATTCTTTTGTTGCTTTTGCTGTTTCAATGACTTTTATAAGCTCTTCAGATATTATGATTAGTCTTCACCATACTTGTAAATATTTGTCTTGTTTATTGTGCATTGTATTTTCTGTCTGATTTTGATGATGTATGCACGCTTTAGGTTTCTGGGAAGTCAAATTTGGTAATCATTTTTTGACCATGGGGCAGGCACCATTGGGACAGAAGAGCTCTACCATCGTTTGTTTCTGGTTGATTTGTAGTTTGAGGTTTCTTCTAACCTTTCCTCATTAAATGAGTTTGAATTTATTTTCCTGAATGGCATGTGATTAGAATCTCAAAATTTTTAAGAACTTGTCTACCAACTAAAAGAAATCTAATTGCTTCATTCAGTTAAAAAAGCAAAACAGAAAAGACCACCCCCTGTAGAGTCAATGAGCACTTGCCATTCTTTTTTCTGGAAGAATACAAAGGGAAAATAGCCCCGCCTTCAGCCCTCAGGCTGTGAGAACTTGTGGATACAGACACACAATTAGAACATCCGCTGAAAATACAAACAGCCTAGACTATACCAAAGAAAGCACAAACAACTGGGATAAACTAACCAGCTTCCTGCTGGAGGTTTGTATCTGGTTCCCAGAGTCTTCTTGGAAGGAATAAAAAGTTTCTGATCTCTTTGTCTCTTCCCTGCTGTGTGTTCTTAGACAAGTAACTTGACTTCTCTGAGCTCCTATTTCCTCATCAGTAAAAATGGGCAGGGCTAACCTTAGTTGTCAGAAGGACAACTGCCCATGAAGGATAGTGTCTGGTACTAGACAGTACCTACCTAGTGATGCCTTCAGGTCTTTAAGCCAGACTTGGAAGGGGAAGTGGGAAGGGAGGTAGGAGGTTGCTGAGGGCCCAAGGACCAGGGCAGGTAGTCTCTGCCACATCTTGGTTCTTGGTTTGGGAAGTGATGAATGGTGAGGGGAAGTTTTACCACATCAGATTCCTCAAACTCATCCCAAATCAGGAGTCTTTCCCAGCAGTTTTTAAAGGAAGCTTTTGCTGCCATGCTTACAAAAACTTGGCTTTAACCCAAACTGACTGGTCACACAAAGAAAATAATGTACCTACTAAGCCCACACGGGCTACTTCTGCTGATGCAGGCTACTTCTGCTGCCTCCCGACCAGCTCTGCTACCTCAGCCCCCTGCTGGTTGGGACACTGGTCAACTAGCAGGACAGGAGTTGGCTCAGGTACCGAGATGTCTCAGGTTGCCAGCTAGATGGTGCTCTTCATTGAGCAGCCTCGTGTGGGTGTGTCTTGTAGCTGGCAGGTAAGAGGGAACTTGACCTTCTGGGCTGTCCAGAAAAAGCCTACCAGACTCCCTGGTTTCCAGGCTTGGGTGAGGTGCTTGCCCTCTCTGTGCTTCATTACCTCCATCTGTGAAACAACCCTGAAGGGTTGGGGGAGCGCATTCAGTGGGTGGGCCCAGAAACAGTGCTCTGACCACTGCACATAGCACGTACCAGGATATGTGAGCTCAGATACTGTGCTGTTATCCTCAAGCTCCCTAAAAGGGATGATGAAGTTTAACCTCACTGGGTAATGCTAGGCCTGGGCCCACTCTCCCAGCCAGTCCTTTGACCAGGCTCTGCTGCTCTCCCAGACTCATGGGAAAGCCGACCAGGCTTCTTCCAGGTCAAACAAATTTTTCGCCCTCTCCTGAGACTACATGGAAAACACTGTTACGTGGAGATTAAAAACCTAGACTTGGCCCTCCCTGGTGGCGCAGCGGGTTAAAGCACAACACTAAGAAGTTAAAGCCGCTTCCGCATGAGTTCAATCCCCACCTGCCCCGGAGGTGACCACATGGTGTGGCAGACCTCTCCTGACCCGCCCGCTGCTCCCCTCAGCAGTGTTCTTCGTCAGTCAGCCTGTTCTGCTCCCCACTCTGTCTCTGGTGAATCCTCTCACCCTCCACATCTCTGGCCTGTACCCCAGTTCTGTATGAATAAATAAATAAATCTTTAAAAAAAAAAAAAACCTAGACTTAAGATCAGACATGGAATTGATATTTCTCTAAAGAAGAGACACAGATGGCCAGTATCCATATGGAGATGCTCAGCACCCTTCAGGAAATAAAAATCGAAACCTCAGTGAGATACCACTTCACACCCACTGGGATGGCTGGAATCAAAAAGACAGATAGTATCAAGTGTTGGCAAGGATGTGGAGAAAGTAGAACCTTCATATGTTGCTAGTAGGAATGTAAAAGGCCGCAGCTGCTGGAAGACAGCCTGGCAGTTTTTCAAAAACTTAAACCTAGAATTACCATGACCCAATAATTCCATCCCTTTGTATGTAAGCAAGAAAAGAAAAATAGGTATGCTCACAAAAACTTGTGCACAAATGTTTTTATAGAAGCAATATTCATAATAACCTTAGAGTGGAAATATCCCAGATGCGTATTAGCTGATGAACAGATAGTCAATAATTGCTATAATTATTGTGCTTTACCCACACCATGAGATAGTATACAGCCATGAAATGTAAAGAGGTGCCAGTACATACTACAACATGGAGGATGAAAAGTGGCTGCTGTTGGATATAGGGTTTGCTTTTAGAGTGATGAAAATTTTCTGGAATTAGATAGTATGACAGGTATACAACCTTGTGACTCTACTAAAAAGTGAATTGTACACTTTCAGAAGAATGAGTTTTATGGTATGTAAGTTGCATATCAATTTTTAAAAATTAGATAGAACAGGGTTTAAATCCTGGCTGTGGCACTTGCTAACTGTGTGACTCTGGGCAAGTAACTTAACATCTCTGTGCCTCATTTTCTTTGTCTGCAAAATAGGCAGAAAAAAAAATACTTCATTCCTAAAGTTAGTATGCACAGTCTACAAGTGAGCTAAAAGTACCTAGCAGCTTCTGGCACATTCAGTAATTATAGCAAATATTTTCAACCAACCATTCTATTGTCACCTTTTTCTCTTTATAATATTGGAAACTTTGTAACTACTGGAAAGTTTTTTGTAAACCCTGAATTACAGTATTTTATTTGCAGTGCAGTTGTATATGTAAACCCTGATGTGGTTGACAGACGTAAAGGAATCACTACTCCTCGTCCCATGTGAATTCCAGCTTATAGTCATATCCCCATGTCACCATGGGGACATGTGCTGTGTTCACTGCTCTCCACACTTCTACTCAAGTTGAGTGTTCTGCTTACCACTTGCTTTCTGCCAAGCCCTTTCTGCTCCTTGTCTAAAATTCTGGGGGCTTTAAGAACAGCCTCTGCTGTGCCTGGCCAGGTGGGCCTCAGGCTCAGTGCATTGTGGAGGCCTCGCCCCTGTTTCAGACTGTGTACCCCTACCATTCAACTCCACCCCCGGGTTCCCAGCTTCACAAATACAGGAGAGATGCTCGTACCCAGGGCACCAGGACACTTGCCAGACAAGCAGAGAAAACTAAAAGGAATTCTTTATTTTGTAAGGAATCAGGGTCTTTGGAGCTGGCTTAGATTGTAATGATTGAATGGAGATGTTATGGGATGGAGAATCTTGGAATTCCTAATGGAATAGCTCATGTCAATATACTAAAGTTACTCACTTTTTATTCTTTCCCCAACCCCATTCTTTCTCATACAGGGAACATGTTGGGAAAAAGAAATCTGGTAAGAATATTTTTCATTTTCTACAATTTGTTGAATGGTAAACATATCCCTGCTGAGTAGCTATGATGCTCCAGGCCTTGGACACTGCATTGGGGACAGGTGGAGGGAAGGGTGGAGGGAAGGATGGGTGGGCATAGGTTAGATGGGTGGATGGGTGAATGAATGGGTGGACGCCTGCTTGCATCTCTGTGTGTATGGTTAATTGACTGATACCCCACTCTGTTGATTGGGTTAGAGATTGTTTCATCCTATTCCTAGAAATTACAAAGTGGATGAATCATCATATTTTTCCTGAGGTTGCTTCAGTGGGGAGTGGGAGACAGACGGCCTTCTAACTGTTCTGTAGTATGTTGCATGCCATGTTCTGCTTTGGATAAGGAATGTGATAGCTCTGAGCGTTCCTTTTGGGTATTCCAAAAGGAAGATCCAGGTTCTTGAAGAGTGAGCCAGAACTTCCACACAATACAGGGCATGCTGGGAGAAAGGACAGTGCTCAGGCTGAAAGACACGAATGTGCTGCAGATTTTCACCCAACTGACATTCTCACCCCAGGCCCAGCGTCTGGACTTCCTCTAACAGCCTCTCTTCTGGGCAATGGCAACTGCTATTTCAAGCAGCTTCTATACTCTCTTCCACTCTCCTCAAAATCAACTGTCCTCCTTCATAACACCTTTCATTCCCTGGACAGCACAACTCTTCTATCAAGAGCATCCGCTGAAAATGAGGTGGTGGAAAATTGGGTGTACAGAGAGGAGCCATTGCTTCCTCACAGGCGAGGGGGGTGAGGTGGGGGTGATAAACTTACATTCACAAAAGCCCAATTCTTTTTCCTGTGACCCAAGATTATGCCCAACATTTGCAAAACCCAGAGCCACACTTGGAGCCAGTGTGGTCTTCAATCTTCCAGAAGATTTATCTGGGTGTCTAGGTGTTGATAAGGATGGGGGGAAATGATGCCTGCAGTTTCATCTGTGAAATGGGATTGGTGATTATTTCAGGATTTATAGTACTATGTATAAAACACTTAGACCAGTACCTGGCATGTTTTAGGTGATACATATTTGCTACCGTTTCCCTGTCAGGTATCAGTATCAAGTCCAAATTCAACATCTTTGGTTCTCTGGGCACAAGGCCTGTGGTCAGCTTTACAGATCCCACGGCCATTTTGCAAAGAACTGTGGAAATGAACTGGATCTCTGTGCCTCTGGGTGTGGCATCTAGAATGAACTCTGGCCTCTTCCCCACCAGTCTGCTTTCTGATTAAATAGGTACTGACCAACCTGTGGTATCCTGTGAAAGCTGCAAATAGCCCTTGAATCCTGAGGATAATAGTATGTTTCCTAGAAAAGAGCAGAAAGGAAGGAGGAACAGCTGGTCACAGCATATCTGGCTATGAATGTACAGAGACTTTCCTGGAGGGAGTGGGTAGGAAGGACAGAGGAAAGAGACAGATCTGGTTTGTGAAAACAGAAGTGTCCAGTCAGAACAGGCTTGATGAGGAGACAGGTCTGGAAAAGAGAGAAGAGCTCTAATTTTGTGGTGACCAGTATGACATCATTCACTTGCAAAGATGAGGGGCAGGTTTATTTCTAGTTCAGTTGGGTAGAAATAGAATCTTTCTTCATTCAGACCAGGAACGCATGCTGGAATTAGCCTTATTTTTCATCTGACCTTTGAACGCTTCCTTTATGTTAGAACCTACCTTCTTGATTGAACTTGAAATGAAGTTAAGGCTGACTGCCCAAGCACAGGATTTCTGGAACAGGGCACTCAATTGGAGAAGGCGGACTTTCTCTGTCATGGTTGACTGGCTGGCTCCTGCAGCCTTTGGCTAATGTATTCTCAAATTCTATTGCAGGAAGAAATCCTCCCACCCAGATTTTACAGGTGTTCTAGTTGTCTAAGGAGCATCTTTCTGCCTGATTTTTCTACCTTTTACTTATTGAAGTAGTCTCTTATTTACTGACTTTTCACTAACACTGGCAGTATAGTGAATGCTTAGGAAAAAATTCCACTTTACCATTATTCCTCATTGCATGTCTTCTCAGGCTGCCATAACAAAGTACTATAGACTGAGTGAGCTAAACAACAAAAAAATGTTTGCTCAGAGGTATGGAGACTAGAAGTCTGAAATCAGATCCCCCTGGTTTGCATATGGCTGTCTTCTCACTGTGTACTAACATGGTAGAGGGAGCAAGCTCTCAGTGCCTCTTCCTGTAAGGACACTAATCCTCAGGGCAGGCCCCATCCTCATGACCTCATTTAACACTAATTACTCCCAGAAGCCCTATCCTCAAGCATATCACGAGGTACTTCAACATGTGAATTTGGGTGGGGATGCACACAATTAAGTCTGTGTACAGCACTTATTACTTTAAAAATTAAAAACATATCAGGCCCTCCCTGGTGGTGCAGCGGTTAAAACACAGCACTAAGAAGCTAAAGCCACTTCAGCATGAGTTCGATCCCTGCCTGCCCCGGAAGTGACCCACATGGCACAGCAGACCTCTCCTGACCTGCCCGCTGCTCCCCTCAGCAGTGTACCTCATTAGTCTGCCTGTTCTTCTCCCCACTCTGTCTCTGGTAAATCCTCTCACCACCCCTGCACCTCTGGCCCATACCCCAGTTCTGTATGCATAAATAAATCTTAAAAAAAAAAAAAGAAACACCCTTCTGTTGCCCAGTCTCTTCCTTTCTGCAGGCCTCCAGCTCCTACTAACCCACAAAAAGGGTGTTTCTCGGGATTTCATTGATTCCATACTTGCAGCTCCTAAATTTAGCCATCTGCAGCAACTTTTAGGTACTGCAATTACTGTGCATTATAGAGCTTGGCCACAGTATCACTGACCACCAGTAGGTGTCACCACCTAACACCTAAATGTCTGAAAGTCCATTTGGAGACTGCTGGTTGGTCAAAGAATGGAGTTTTGATGGGTTGATTCTTCTGGAAATCAACCTGCTCTGGAAGAACTTAGGGCACTCTCCTCAGCCACTAACCTCAGTCTCAAAGCTACTGTCATAGGAGAACAAAGAGACGTAAGTCGAGGCCCTGCCCCCTGAACAAGCCTTGTGCTAGTAGCTCATCTGCCTACGCCAGCCCAGAGCATGAAACCCTGCTCCCTCCTCATTTTCTGGTCCCCTGTCTTGTTCACAGTGAGTTCATGATGCCCTGAGTCTGTCACTGCTCTTACTTAACCCAAGTCCCCTTGGCATCCTAGTAAGGAGAGTTGCTATAAAATTGAATAGATCATTCCATTAATCAGAGTCCTGAAAATTGTATGCAGTTACAGCTGTTATCACCATCAGTTGTGATTTCCATTTTATGGGTGAACCAGGATTGAGGTGATCAAAAGCAAAGCCAGAAAGACAAAGTCCAGATTCTGGGCTACCTGTGAGCCCTGGGGAGCTATATCAGTGAGTGGCATGATCAGAATAGCATGAGCACCATGGCTGCAGGATGGAAGAGAGCCTGGAAGTCCAGGCAGAGGGACACCAGTGACAGGTGTCCCCTCTTCCCTTTCCAGCTCCAAAGAAAGCACTCTAGTGTAGAGGATGTCACTCGGTGAGATTGTGTGTGAGTGGATCATGGAAGAAGTCTGTGCACGAAACCCATGACTAAGAAGATTCTGGTAGTACTGCAGGTGGCAGCAGAGAGACCCCACACCTGCACACAGCCTCGGCTGTGCCCTCACCGGCCCCTGCCTGCCTGCCTACAAGACCTGCATTGTCTCTGAGCATGAACCTGGGCCCAGGCACAGCCCCTAGCCAGTGGGAAGAGGGTGCTTTTCCTCCATTCCACTTCCTTTCCTGTTGAGGCACAGGAAAGCTCAGTAGTTACCTGGAGGAAGTTCACATAATGGCCAAATGAGTTCGCTGCTTTCCTCGGATTGTGAGCTAGACTACGTTTCGGCCATAAACTGTGGACTCAGATCTCTACTTGCTGCATTCCCTGGGGATGCACCTAGAAATGACCAGGCCCCAGGAAGCCAGTATTTCCTTGCTCACATGATGGTTCCTCTTAGGCGCATGATGCCAGTGTATGGAGGAGACAGCCAAGACGCAGCCATCCAAGTTCATGCCCTAATGTGGGCAGCAGAGAGAAAGCACATCAGTCTGCTCTGAGACCACTGAAAGATGTAGCTGGCTTAGGTGGGCTCTGATGCCTGAGGCTGGAAGAGGCTGACCCTGCAGCCTCGCCTCTAAGGAGATGACACAGGAATGCCATTTGCCAATAGTGAAGATAAGCCCTGAAAGACACAAAGAAATAAGGCTCTGCCGAGCGGTCCCCAGGGTGGCGTTGGGGACGGATGGAGAAGCAGGCTGCAAGCCACTCTTCCTTCTCTATCATCCTCTCTTAACAACCATTGCTGCCTGGCCTGGATGTCACCTGGGGGATCCAAGGCAAGTCACTTGCTATCTGCGAGCCTGTCTTTTTGTCTGTTAGGTGGGGGTGCAGTACCCACTCTGCAGGGCATCTGTGTTGCCATAGTCTGTGTGAGGCATGGAGCCTGCGTGTTGGCATTCACCGGGCCGCTTCCCTCCCAGCCTTCTGAGCCTACATCCTCCATCATCTCCCTGCTTCTTTCTCTCTCTCTTGCTCTTTTCTCTCCCTGCTTTCTTCACCCAGGGTGCGAGGTCAGTGGTGCATGAATGACCAGAATGTGGTCACAGAGCCAAGAAGCGGTGACCTGGCCCCAGTGCTCTGTCGGGGTTTTCAGCAAATGTCAGCATGTGTGGTTCTAACAGAGGGCCTTTGTGGCCCTGCCCGGTGCCTGCAGTGGGAATGCATGGGTGCTGGAAGTCAGGCAGGCAACAGAGTTGGCGAGAGAGGCGCAAAAGAACCCAGGATAAGTCAGCGCTCGTATACCACTCTCCACTGGGTGTATTTAGAAACGGGGATTGCCCGACTGTTTCAATGCTGATGGAAACAGGAGAGAATACTATAGATCAGAATATTAAGAAAACCAGGGCCCTGCGGCCCCCACATAAATTCTACTGTTCTGGAGTGCTGTCCGTTTCCCTTTCAAGTCTGAATTCAGATATCCCTTTACATAACCTTCATTCTGCAATAGCTCTTCATTTCTTTATCAGCTAGGTCTTGTACAACCATGGCTGTGCAACCCAGGGGTCCCCAGCTGTGGAACAGCCTCTCCCAGAACCCCCGCCCCACCGCTGCTCTGCCCCAGTCCACAGCCACCATCATCTTTTGTCTAACATCTCTTTGACCTACATCTGTCCTCCTGTTTTTGTTCCTGCCTGCCTTTCATCCAGTCTCCACATGCTGTGAACCTTAACTTATCATTCTCTCTTTAAGCCCTTAAGTGACTTTCTACTTCCAGATTTTTATTTCACTTTTTTTAAAGATTTATTTATGCATACAGAACTGGGGTGCAGACCAGAGGTGCAGGAGTGGTGAGAGGATTCACCAGAGGCAGAGTGGGGAACAGAGTAGGCAGGTCAACTGAAACACACTGCTGAGGGAGCAGCAGGTGGGTCAGGAGAGGTCTGCTGCGCCATGTGGGTCACCTCCGTGGCCGGGAATCGAACTCTCAGTGAAGCGGCTGCATTGAGCTTCATGGTGCTGTGCTTTAACCCATAGCACCACCAGGGAGGGCCCTCCTTCCAAATTTTTAAAAGAATCCAACCATCTTGCCTTGCCTCGCCTCCTGAGATGACCTCACTTAGGATGGCTCCCCTCACTCACTGGACTGCAGCCACCCTGGCTTCCTTTGAATTCCTAGAAGGTTCCAAGCTCTTTCCCATCTCAGAGGCTGCAGGCATCACTGTTTCTGTATCTCCTTGTGACCCCTTTCACTCAGATCTCTGCTTTGTCACTGCCTTTGGGAAAGCTTGCTGACCACCCCATCTAATGTAACACCCCCTTTCCTATTCCTTCTTTGTCCAACGTCATGATTGTTTCCAGCAAATGCATCTATCAATAACTCATGTTTACATTATCCTATATAGTTATTGAACATATATATTTCTTTATGTGTCTGTCTCCCCATCAAGAGAGTTACTTGAGACTAGAAATTTATCTGTCTCATTAACTTTAGTACTTCAGCACCTAATAGTGTCTGCAACATTATTGGTGACTCCATGAATTAATAGGATGGATGGATGAATGGATGGATATTTAGTTGGGCGAATGATGGGTGGATAGATGGTTGAATGAATGGCAAATAGGTGGATGTTTAATTGATTGGATGATGAATAGATGTTATTGGGGTAGATGAGTGGATACTTGTTTGGATGGATGATGGATGATGCTTGTTTAGATGGGTCATGGATGTATATATAGTTGGGTAGGTGATAAGTGATAAAAACTTAAATATGTTGTGGATGGATAGAGGGATGTTTGGGTAGATGATAAGTAGATGAATAATGTTTGATGAAGAGATGGATGTGTGGGTAGATGGATGGATAAGAATGAGTGGATGAATTTTTCTACTAGGCTGTTAGCTTCTTCAGGGAAAAATACCATATCTTACTAACCCTGAACCCCCAGGTCCTAGAGCAGTGCCTACACAGATCACACACTTGGTAAATTTTGACAGGTGAGTGAATGAAATGAATGAAAGAATGGTATCACTCTTGGGACAAGTTCTTAACTCTTTTTTTCTTTTTGAAATATCTTGCTTCCCTGGGTCCTGCTTCTGCCTCCTGCATGGAATGTGGTCAGATTGATAACTGGTAGGGTTTTGTATTACAGGAAGTGACTTGACCTCAGTGGACCCCATGGTCCTGGAGCAATATGTGGTGGTGGCAGACTACCAGAAGCAAGAGAGCTCAGAGATCAGCCTCAGTGTGGGGCAGGTGGTGGACATCATTGAGAAGAACGAGTCAGGTAGGAGACCTAGGTCACCTCCTTCCCCACTTATACAGTTGTCAAGCCCCTAAGACAGGAAACCCAGAAAATGCAATAATGGTCAGTTCCTATAGGTACAGCAGATCGCCTCTTAGAAAGCTGTCCCCATTTGATCCCAGTGTTTGAACATCCCACGTGGTCACAGCTCACCAGCATCCTGATGAGTCACATGTTACCAATTTGTTCCAAGACTCATTCCTCAACCAAACCATGAACATTCCCTCTGGTTTCAAAGTACTTGGAGACACAAAGTCCAGCATTCCTCAGAAAGTCACTCTGTTGATTTACCCCCAGTTACCATGCCGCTGATCCACAACTGTGGGACAGGCATGCTACCTGTCACTTCAGCACACCTGCCCGTCCCAGAGACCACTGATCACATACACTGGCAGGTCGTTGAGAGAATATGTATGATCAAGACTTAGGCTCTGGTCTTCAATTTCTTATCTACAAAGTTTTTTTAAAAACTTCTGCCCCAAGAGCAGTTTTAAGGATTAAGTGAGCTAATACATAGACAATATGTAATCCTGCTTCTGAGAAAGAGTAGTTGCTCAAAATTTGAGTTTCCTTCCTTTGCCACAGAGCAGCCATTGAGCACAACAGAAGGCAAAGGTCAAGAGGCAGGGATGGGTGGATCCCTCTACAGAGGAAGGTGACATAAACTCACTACCTCTGTGGTGGTTTAAATGCAATGCCCCCGGGCCCTCCCTGGTGGCACAATGGGTTAGGATGCAGCACTGCAAGCTGGCAGCAGCCGCGTCAGTGCAAGTTCGATCCCCACCCAGGAGGTGATCCACATGACGTGGCAGACCTCTCCTGACCCTCCCACTGCTCCCCTCAGCAGGATACTTCGTTGATCTGCCTGTTCTGCTTCCCTGATCTCCCTGTTCTGTTCTGTCTCTGAAGCCTCTCACCGCCCCTGCACCTCTGGCCTGTACGCCAGTCCTATATGAATAAATAAATAAAATCTTTATAAAAAAGAAAAATGTGATGCCCCAGTGGCTAACGTTAAACAACTGAGGGAATGTCTATTTCTGGAAGCTTCTAGATCATGTTACCAGTTAGTCAAGAGATCAACATTAGCCGACCAAGGTCCCTTGGATTCTCACTGTAACTGTTGCTAACAGCTGCACAGCGAGGACACCCAGCCTCCAGGTCACTCGTCACTCACCCAGGCTCTCACGAGAGGTTTGCTGAGCTGAAATTCCAGTCCAGCCAGCCAGCCCCAGGATCACGTGACTTTCTGATTCCTGAAAATGAGTACATGCATATTATGCAATGGCTCAGATCACTATGTAGACAAAAGGAGGGGACTAGGAACCCATGTTGGAGACAACCCAGAATGTCCAAAATCGGGGGCCAGTGGGGAGGCAGATAGAAGTAGTCACATCTTCAAGTGGCCAAGAAGCAGGCAACATTTATTTTTAGTTAATTTTACTTATACAAGTAATACACTCTTCTGAAAACTTAAAATTCAATGATAAAGTTAAAATCACTAGTTTCCACTACCTTAACGGTTTGGTACAAATCCTTCTGGATCATTTATTCACATATGTACACAAATAGACATATATTCATGTATATGTGCACATGTGCACATACATAGATCATGTTTGTATGTATATGTGTATATGGGGTGGGGGAGTTTTAAACCCATTGGTGTCAACACATTTTGATCTGAGACATTTCAGTGAACATTTAGCTCTTATCCTCTTAGCATCTGTATACTATTAGACCCAAATAAGCCATGTTTTTCTCAATATGAACAGCATATCTGTGCACACACTGATAAGTGTTTTATCAAGCCACATACTGAGAGTTAGAACTGCTGGGCCATGAGATAAGCACATTTCAAACATTAGTATGTGGTCCAGTTGCCTGCTTGCAAACAGTCACCATCTATAATAGATTTACCATCCCTCAGGCCATGCTTGAGTTGTTAACACAGATGGTCAAGATCAAACTGTGAATCAGCTGGACAGCCTGGGCTTGAGTTCTGGTCTTTGTGGCCTCAGATAAGTCACTGGCCTTCTCTAAGTCTCACCTGTAAAATAGGGACAGGATGAATACGTACCCTCTTTAACTGTTAGGAGGAGCCAGCAATCAGTAGTGCATAGATGTGAAGCATGAGACAGCCAGGTGCATCTCTGCACCCATATATACCTAAAATAATGAGTTCTAGGAAGGCATATGACACATCTTCTAATTTATGGCTTTTCAGATTCACCTGCCCCATTCATTCCCACAGAGAGTTCCAGTTACCATAACATGTACTTTAAAAGGCACATCCAGTTGAATGAAGCAGAAGGCAGCTTCCTTCCACTTCAGGAAGGTCGGGAGCAAAGGACTCCCTGTAACACTAGAAATCTTGCTCAAGAGTCTGTCCCTACCTTCTTTTTCTTTGGGATTGCCAAGTCTTGGAGGTGTATGACCTTGGGGAATGGATCCGAATAGCTAAGATATTTGGGCTCTATGATACTTTCCTCTTGATGCTGTAGCAAATAATCACAAACTTACTGGCTTTGAACAACACAGATTGTTATTCCACGGTTCAGTGGATCAGAAGTCCTAAAATGGGCTGCAGGGCTGCATTCCCTTCTGCAGGCTGGGGATTGCATCTGTGTTTTTAGCCCTTTCCAGCCTGTAGTAGTTGCCTACCTCCCTTGGCTCGTGGCCTCTTCCTTCCTCCTCCATAGTTACAGATCCTGTAATTACTTTGCACCCACCCAGGTGATCCAGAACAACCTCCCTATCTGAAGGTCAGCTAATTTGCAACCTTTATCCTTCAATTCCTCTTTTCCCTGTAGTTTAACCTATCCCTGATTCCAGAGATAGGGATTTGGACATCTTTGTGGGTCATTATCCTGTCTGCCATAAGCAAGACTCCTCAAAGAGGAAAGTCTTTGTGTCTGGGTACGAGCTTGAGTCAGATTTAATGGAGATGCACAGATCCAATAATGTCCTGAGTCTCAGATAAGTGATCAGGGCTGGGGCTTCAGTTTCCGACAGCCTGAATGCAAATCACAGCCCTTAGTAACTTGACCTTGGACAAGTCTGCTTCTAGAAGTCCAGTTTCCTCACCTGTGCAGTCAGGACAAGAGTATATAAGATAATACAAATACAGCCATGTCTTGTTTAAATGCTTTCAACAGCATCCTTACAAATCCTAGTAGGCTAGACCACACAGCCTGGGCCTGTAGGAGGCTAGACCATCTGGGCATGGGTCATTATGACCTGCGATTTGACACGATGAAGTCATCCAGTGACAATTTGTCAGAATGTATCACTGTCACTGAGGGATGCATGAGTATAAGTTTATTAGTGCATACCATTCAACCGTAAGGAAAGATGAAATGCAATCAGTTACAACAAAATGGAGAGAGTTCAAGGGAAATATTACAGAGCAAGTTGTAATGACAAACAATACTGGACATTGACATAACAGACAAGCTGATAAAGGGAAGTACAAAAATGAGTGGGCATTAATAAATACAGTGAGAGTGCTGAGGTTAAGAGGGAAAGAAGAAGAATGAGACAGTGGATCTAGGATGGTGGTGGGAAAAATAGATTTTAAAATAATTTTGTAAAACTTGAGATTCTAAAAAAATTAAGGGAATTGTGAAAAAATAAATAATAAATAAATGTTTTGTGCACTACACACCTTAGTAAAAGCAACTACATCCTGGAGAAAAAGGAACTCTCCTGCATTGCTTGTGGGAATGCAAACTAGTACAACCACTATGGAAAACTGTTTGGAGGTTCCTCAAACTGCTAAACATGGAGCTTCCCTAAGACCCAGCAATCCCACTCCTGCGTATCTACCCAAAAGACACAAAAACACTGATTGAAAAAGATACCTGTACCCCCATGTTTATTGCTGCTTTATTTACAATTGGAAAAACATGGAAGCAGCCCAAATGCCCAAAAATAGATGACTGGATTAAAAAGATGTGATACATATATACAACGGAATATTACTCAGCAACCAAAAAAGAGAAACACATGTCTTTTGCAGCAACTTGGATGGAGCTGGAAAAGATTATGCTTAGTGATAAGCCAGAAAGAGAAAGAAAACTACCGGATGGTTTCACTCATAGCAGGAGTATAATGGACCAGGCGAGAAAATAACAAAAATAATGTACAACCATATACCAGAGACATTTTGCGGGGGTGGAGTGGGGAATGGGATCAAAAACGGGGAGCAGGGGGAGGGAAGTGCACGGGATTATAGTGATGGCACACAGGTGACTCGGGGATGGGAAACCCGCGGGGACTACAATTGAGATGGAAAAAAAAATGTACAAAATTATGTAAAAATAAAGTGTTATTAAAAAATTTTTTTTAAAAAGGGTAGAAAGGCACCAACAAGACACCATATTAATAAATGGAAGATTCATTATCACAAAAAAAAAAAAGCAACTACATCCTTGACTCATCATTTAGCAGAACCGTCTCTCCCCTGGCCCCCAGTCCCCACTCCCCAACCTCACCCCACCCCCACTTGGAGCAGGTTTCTTGCTAGTCTGCCTTAGCAGGTAGCTGACTTGGGTGGTTGTGTTCACCAATGAAATGGTGATCCTTCAACATTACCCTGAGCCTTGACTGGTAATGACTGAAAACATCATTATATTGTAATCCAGCTGACATGTCTTCACTCCCCTTTTCCCAGGTTGGTGGTTTGTTAGCACTGCCGAAGAGCAAGGCTGGGTCCCTGCCACCTGCCTGGAAGGGCAGGATGGTGTGCAAGATGAGTTTTCCCTACAGCCTGAAGAAGGTAGGCAAGGGGCTTGGGGCCCCAGCTCGGAGCTGGGGAGACCTGTGCCAGTCATTTTCCCAGGGGACCTCTACCCAGCCTCTGCCCCCAATGCTCATGACTGCCTGCCTCAGGCTCCTTAACTCATGGGCCTAAAGCCTGGCCTCGGGGTTGGGGCTGACAGCAACCCACCCTTCTCTGGGAACCAGCTGAGAGAGGCAGGCTGGAGCTGGGGTCCTGATACCTCCAAGATTCTCAGGAGGGACCCAGCCCCCGTTGCTGTCAACACCGCGCCGCTCCCCACCCTGACTATCTGATGACCAGGATGCTGGGGCTGCTTCCAGCTCATTTGCAAGACATCTGAAGCCATCTGGAAAGATCTCTGCTTTCTCTGTTAGCGTAGTGGCCCTGACCAAGCATCAGGATCAGAGTTGACCCCTGGCTCACCCACATACTTCCATTTCCCAGGGAACTTTCCCAACACACTTCTGCCATGCCAGAAAAACTAAGGCCCAGCCAAATCTTTCCTCCCAGAAGCATTCCCATAACTAGAGTGTAAGTGCACGTCAATTAATAAATTGGAGTCAGACTCAAAACTGAATCTCAGCTGTACCATTTACTGACTGATCTTGGTCAGTAACTTAACCTGTCTACACCTCAGCCGCTGCCTCTGAAAATGGAAAAGGTGGTATCTATTTCATGGAGTTTCTTTTTTTATTAATTATATGAGATTCTACAGGCAAAGCACATAGCAAAGACAAAATAATACATAAGTAAACAATAAAAGTAATAACCAGAGATAGTATGAAACCATCCCTTACCTGGGGTTGAATATTTGGAGTTTTTAGTTCACTATTTTGAGAAAGCATAAGGTGATTATTTATTAGAAAAGTAGGTTTAAAAAAAAAGGATATTTCTGTGCTCAAAGCTTAGTAAAAAAAAAAATATGTGGCTTTGCATCAGGCTTGTTTTTTTACAGCCAGCTCCCCTCAATGTAAAATATCTAGGAGTCCCCTACCCCTGCTTCTACATTAGGGGCTGGGCTGACAGAGGATGTTCAAAAATCAGCCCAGCATAAGGGGTGGTGATGTGTTTTGTGGGAACTCTGGCTCCCTCAGACTGTAGTAGTGACCACATGGGCATGCCTCTGAGAGACGGATTATTATTCCATTTTGAGTCCAGGAAGTTAAGCGGACGCTTGTCCCAGGTCACACAGTGCGTGTGGCCGCCTTTTCCTGACGAAGTGTGTGTTTTTCTTCCCCCTCACCACAAAGCCTCTTTATAATTGTGCTAGGCGTAGTGTCTACTGGATCCCTCTTCTCTCAAGTTCAAGGTTAATATTCAGGAAGCTGGTGCTTCTAAGGCACCTGAGGTTTGACATAGACACAGAAATACTGGCTTCTAAATGAGAACACATGCTTGGCGCCCCCTTTGCCTGGAGACACGGAAAGCACCTTCTTCTCACCTCTGTCTTCTGCCCTTCGCCTCCACATGCCGCCCGCCCAGTCTCATGGAGGTACTGGTCTTTGCCCCGGCCCACAAGCCGCCGCCGGACTCTGGGCGACTTGTATGCCATCACCTGGCGTCAAGGTGCCATCTCAGAGTTTTCATCCTGGTTCTGTGTTTGGGGCCTGGTGCCTGCATCTGCATGCCCTGCCTGCTCCGAGACTGCTCATGCCTGTTGCATGTGAAAAACTGATTGTGTCTGTCCCCGTGTGTGCTGGCTTGTAGTTTTGGGAGGAGAGAGCCTGGGGTACCTCTCACCTGGGCTCTAGAGTTTCCCAGTTCAAAAATGATGCCTGGAGACCTTTGTAATGTTGAGCTAGTGATTGTTCCTTTCATCAGGCACATTTGAATTATTTTTCCCACATTTGAGAGAAAGAAAAACCATGCAAAGGTGCCCGGGAAGTGCATCGGCTTCAAGCATGGCTGGATCTAGGGGCTGGATAACATTCGGACCGGGGACTCCCATGGCCAGCTCTCTGCTCTGCTTCCTACCTGGCTGGCACCGGGCTATGGTGGTGACAATAGTTTGGGCATCCATGGAGGAAGGAGGAATGTGTTCCTCCTTCAAGGAGTACAAGTTCCAGCGTTGGCTCCAACTGGTCCACTTGGATATATGCCATCCCTGAACCAACCACAGTGGCACCCTGGCTAGATCATGGTCCCATGCCCACCCCCTCCCTCCAGGCAGCCGTGTGAGCAACTTTATCCGTACTCTGGATAGAGGCTGCTTGTGCCACCAGACAAAGCTGCGTATCAGGCAGCTGTTTTCTGCCATGTGGTCTGCACGGTCTCATACCTTTTGCTTCCTTAGGGCGCATGTACAGAGCCCAGAGGAGACCTCCAGATTCTAGAGAAAGCTATGGGATCAGCCAAAGGGTGAGGGCCCCAGAGTCCAGGTCCCCTAAGTCTAACACCCCAGCCCACTCCTCACCTGAACAAACAGAACTTCTCTGCATCCCCCGGGTTGAATTGCCCTGCACCCCTCACAGCACCCACACCTCACTCTGAGCCGGGGAGCCGCTGACTGCTATACACAGTATCTGTGGAACTTGAGTCAGTTCAGCCCCCTCAGCAGGTCAGTGGGCTAAATCAATCAATAAATAAGCGTCCCGTGTGTTTTCTGCCTCCCTCTGAGCCAGCTGGGCAGGCCACAGAAGGTCGTGGTGTTTTCCCACAGAGAGAGTCGACCCCAGCACACGAACCATCACACCAGCCCACAGCTGGCTCGGTCACTCCCTGGGGCTGGAATGTATCCAACACAGGAAAACCCTGTCTCTCCTGGGATTCTCATCTGCTTTCCCCTGTCTCAGCGGCCAGAGCTGACAGTGTTGGGGTGGGAGCTGTTTGCTTGCTCTCTGGACAGGCCTGTCTGAGTTGACACTGAGCAACCCTCCCAGCCAAGCCAAGGCCCAGGGAGGAGGGGCAGGGATGGCTCTAAGGATGTCCCATGGCTTTGGGGATAGGGAGCAAGGAAGCACAGAGAGTGGGATAGGTGGTCACATAATGAAATTTGGTGAATTTAACTCCCATTAATAAAGAGTGAGGCATCAGGCTTAGTCGGATCCAAGGACTTCAACGTAATTAATTAAAAATGAAGATCCATTACCAACTAGGTAATGAAAAGCACTAGCTCATCCCTGACTCCCACCAGCAAGAACCACAGAGGAGACACAGAGGACTTCATCCCTCTGGTATGAGCAAGGCGTCTCCCACCAGGCTTTCAGAACTTGTTCATTTATTAAAAACTGGATGTACAGTTACTAAACATTTCCATCACCATGCCCACTGCTGGCAACAGAGAAAAGACTGACACACAAACAGACATGAAACCCCATAAATAACGTAAAGTGTATATATGTTAGAAGGTAATTTCTTGTTGTAGGGGAACAAAACCTAGGTGAGAGGAATAAGGGTGCCCTGGGTCACTAAGTTGCATAAAGCAAGGTGAAGACAGGAGGCCATGAAGCACAGATTTGAGGAGGATGAGGACAAATGTGTATCACTGAGAGATTACCAAGGGGCCAGGACCTTCCTTTTGTTCTGTGTCTTGTTGCTGCTTGCACAAGGCTGCCAGGACTTTGTGAGGGCCAGAAATTGCTAGAGAAATCCTTCCCTCCGTTGGGCAAGGGCAGCTCAAAGGTTAAAGCCTTGGCCATACTTATCCCAGCACCCTTTTATCTCCACAGAGGAGAAGTACACAGCTATCTATCCATATACGGCTCGTGACCAGGATGAAATCAACCTGGAGAGAGGGGCCATGGTGGAGGTCATCCAGAAAAACCTGGAAGGCTGGTGGAAGATCAGGTACTGGCCGTCACTGGGTGGGTTTCAGGTCATGTGAGCTCAAAGTGATTGCAGATGGGATGAGGGTTCTACCTAAGCCATAAAAGGACTTCTCTGTGCTGACTTCCCCTCCCTACCCAGACCCTGTTCTAATATTCCATCACAAGCAAAACCTTCTCAAATGCACAAAACCATGGATAGCAGTAACTCATTGAGCTAAGCTGCTCTTAACTTCCAGATGCTTCTTGTGACAAGCATCTGGAGGCTGAGCTGCCCTGTGGGAGGGCTTCCCTCTCCTGCCCCACTCTGTGACCAACAGTAAATGTGTACCAGGTGGACTGAAATTTTCCCTCACCCCTCAGAGTCCAGTAGTAAAAGCAGGAGATCTGCCTTGCACACACTTTGTCACAGCTCTTCCATCTCTTGGATGAAATCAGACCTCAGATAAGGTAACTGACTCTTCCCAGTCATCCTGGGACTTACCAGTTTTAGAAGGGATTCCCCTCCTCAGTCACCTGAGTGGGAAGATTGACAGGAAATTTGGACAAAAGAAATCTGAGATCCCTGCAACCTAGTGTCAGCATCATAATGTGAGGCAGGATTAGTCTCCCTCACATGGGGCTAAACATGTGGCTCTTCATTCATTTATTCAGTCAGTCATTCTGGTCAGTCAGTCAACAAACCCTCAGCCAGAGCCTAATCTGGACCAAGTCCTGTTAAATAGGAATTGAGGAGTCAGCCACGAGAAAGACAAAGTAGTTCACACCAACAGACATAGAAGACAGACACCCACAATTTCATGGTGGGGCGGTGAGCTGTGTCTCAGAGGAGTTACACAAGGGACTTTGGAGCACATGAGAGACCCCTTATCCCAGAAGCAAGAAAGGGGTTCAGAACTGAGACTGAAGCATGAGTAATGACAACAATACCTAATGCACATTGAGTGTATTATCTTGCTTCCTAACAAATTATCCTAAGACTTAGTGATGCTGGAATTCAGGAGTGGCTTAATTGGGATCCAGTTCCTTCCTGGGATTGCAGCAGGCAGTCAGCCAGGATTACAGTCACCTGAAGTTTTGATAAGATCAGGTAACGACTGGGATTTGAACCAGACCACTCTCACCACCAAGCCCCACTTACCTCCCACCACATGTGCTGCTTCTTTGCTTAGGCCCTCTACACTCTCATGTTGAGGGTGTGGAGTGTACATAGCTTGGCATTTTCCAGTTCAAACAGTTATTCCCTCTCAGAAGTTATTTTGAGATTGATAGATACCAAGCTCTATAGATTACTGTCCTCTTAGAATTTTCCAGCTTAAAAGGCTTTTTTCTTTTCCGTTGAAACATATGCTCTTTAATTCTTAAAGTGATTCTTGGCAAGAGAAGTGGTGCTTCCATGTATCGTCTTTAGTCAACTAGGTTAGTCAATGGTGGAGGCATCTGTTTTGTAGGCCAAACCAGTAGGATGCTGGCAGATGTTTAACAAGTACTAAGGAAAAACACCCTTGAGTGGATGTTCGCCTGTCGTGGTGTAAATACTCCCAGCATGGCCGATGCCAGCTCCAGATAGGCTGTCACCTATCACGAAATTGGAGCTAGATGTAGGAGGGCTCTCAGCTGGCATGAGCTGGCCCACACCTTCAGTCCTTACTGCTCAACCAGGTTCTCTCATGCTGAGAATTAAGTGACCTTTGCAATTCTGGGATTCCCTTTGGATTCCCTTTGCTCTTCGGTGAACTTGAGTGTCAGGGTCTTGATCACTCTGTTCAGTGTCCCCCAGCTGGCCTTTGTTAAGCCCTGGAACCAACCCCCCAACTACTCTGTAGTTACGTGGATGTGTATTCCATTTACATGTTCACCAGCATGAATGAAACCTGCCTTGTCTACACCGGGCTTTGTGCTGGGAGCTGGGCTTCTGGGGAGAGACAGCAAAGCATGGAGGTTAGGATCACAGATGGATACTGCCTGCCACGGTCAAATCTACGCCTGCCACCTCGCAGGGCAGGGTGTTTGACATCCATCCATAGCTCTCCAGACTTACAAGCGGAGCTGCACTTAGAGTAGCTTCCTGCCACACACCTGTTAGCACTGTTGCTTTTATCCGCACAGCCCTGGCGGTTGGGTCAGCAGCTCTACAGAGCTTTTTGGCTTCTGTCTACTTGTGCTTTTATTTCTTCATTCAACTTACTGGCACCAAAGCCCCTGAGTTGCAGAGATGAACCAATTGCAGTCCCTGCTCGAGTTTGTGTTCCAAGTGGGGAGCTAGGACAGCCACAGCTATATCGGGGTTAAGTCTCAGCGTGGCTATTACAGCTGCAGCCTGAGTTCGATCCCCAGCCAGGGAACTGACCCACATTTGGCATAACAGACCTCTCCTGTCTGACCAGTTGCTCCCCTCAGCAGTGTATTTCAGTCAGTCCACCTGTTCTGCTCCCGAACCTGTCTCTGGTGAGTCCACACACACACACACACACACACACACACACACTTCTGGTCTATATCCCCCTCCTTCTATACATAAATAACTAAAAATGAATCTTTTTTAAAAAGAAAAGAACAGGCCCTCCCTGGTGGTGCAGCGGGTTAAAGCACAGCACTAAGAAGCTAAAGCTACTTCCGTATGAGTTCAATTCCCGCCTGCCCCGGAGGTGACCACATGGCGAGGCAGACCTCTCCTGACCCGCCCACTGCTCCCCTCAGCAGTGTACTTCCTCGATCTGCCTATTCTGCTCCCCACTCTGTCTCTAGTGAAGCCTCTCGCCGCCCCTGAGCCCCTGGCCTGTGCCCCAGTTCTGTATGCACAAATAAATAAATCTTAAAAAAAAAAAGAAAAGAACAGCCACAGCTAGGTGTCACTGTGTTAAAGGTCCTGGGATGTGGTGAGCAGGAGACATGGTGCACCATGGACGGAGGACATAATCTCTGCAAGGCTCAGGAGAGATGTGAGAGAGGAAATGGTATTCTGCAGAGAGGGCAAAGGGGAGCGGGAACGAGAGGGAGATGGGCTTTCTGGACAGAGGGTCTCCTAGAGCAAGGCCTTGGTGGGGAGATTTGGGAGAGAGAACCCAGTGCGTGGGTGGGATGTGGGGGTGCTGTGAGAGATGAGCCTATGGAGACCAATCTGGAAAGGCCTTGAATGCCAAGCTGAGCATCTGGCATCATCGGGGCAGTGTGTCATGTGCCAGCCTCTGCCCTGGGCAGTTGTGTTCCTGCCAGCTGGGATCCAAAGTGTGATTCACTGTAGGAACTCGGTGGGCTTGGCGAACCCAGGTAACCAGCATCTTTCCTTCTCCCAGATACCAGGGCAAAGAGGGCTGGGCCCCAGCCTCCTACTTAAAGAAGAGCAGTGGAGAGCCCTTACCCCCCAAGCTGGGCCCTGGCTCACCCACCCACTCAGGCATCGTTGACCTGGATGGAATTTCCCGCCAGCAGAACTCAGTGGGCAGGGAGAAGGAGCTGCTGAACAACCAGCGGGACAGCCGTTTTGAAGGCCGCCCAGTACCCGATGGTGACATCAAGCAGAGTGAGTGACGCCCACCCAGTCTCCCAGCAGCTGAGGGTTTTGAGTGGGCCTGCGGTGCATTCAGAGTTCCTCCCCTATTGTTTATCATCCTTATAACATCCCTGGTAACTTGTTCTAGATCATTTAACCAGCAAACCTGAGTCCAGAGACTTTGCTTTCCTCCCACAGACCATATTTTTCCCACTATTTTGTAATGATTACGACAGCTTCTTTTCCCCAAATCCCTACTGTGTTCCAAGAATCTTGTAATTAGTCTCACTGACTCCTTGTGAAAGACTTTGAGGGACTAACTACTTTTGTTTTACAGGTGAGGGGACAGAAATGGGCTTACCTAAGACCACCCAGAAAGTAAATGGTGGGACAGGGATCTGGACCCAAGCTGTCTGACTCCCATACCTGTGCATTCTCTTCATTATTGCCTCATTTCTGAACCAGAGGACAGTTTACACCAATGAGAGTTCTTTCTTGCCTTTCAAAGCTTCCCCATTTCCTTTTATTATTGATGTTCCCAAAGCACCTGAGAATACTTGTCTACAGTATATCCAGGACTCTGGCCTCAGGCTCATAACATTGGCAGGAGGAATTTGTCTGTTGGGAAAGAACTTCCAACTTGCCATCTAAATAAAGTCACTGGCTTCTCCCAGCCACTTAAAGTAACAGAGTCAATGAGCTCTCAATTCTCTGATGTCCAATGGCAGGGGTTCTGGCCAACCCTACTGATGCTAATCTATAATGGCCAAGAGCACAGAATTCCCATTAACACTACAAGAGCAAATGAAAATTTGAGATCCTCTGTCATTGTTTGGATATAGGTTCAGATTCTCAAGCAAAGACTCCCCCACCACACATATACAAAGAGACTCAAATAATTTAAATGTCTTTTTTTTTTTTTTTTTTCATATAAAGAAGGTATACAGGGCTTCCCTGGCAGCTCCTTGCAACCATGAGTGTATCTATCTTGTGCTTTCCTCATTCACCTGGTCCAGCTTTGCTCTCCACTAGTCCAGCCAGTGAAAGGAGGCAGGGAGAAATGGAGGATGCCACTCAAAAGCATTCTCTCCATTCTCTCACATCCCATTGGCCAGAACTTTGTCACATAACCATACTTAGCTGCAAGGGAGTCTGGGAAATGTAGAATTTATGTAGGTAGCCAAGTGGCTAAATACTTTGCCATTTATTCCAATAGAACACAGAGGAAATGGGGTCACTAAAAGAAAGATCCCACATCCCAATTGTCAAACTACCCCTCTGTGAATATGAACTGAGTCAGTTCTGGCAATATGTAGGGTGACTTCCTCGGTGATCTTTAGACAGGAAACTTGAACTATTGCATCATCTTCCTGATACTGAGACCCAGCTCCAGAATAAAAACCCTTGTGAGTTTTGTGACCATCAGCCCAAGTTGGTTTGGTTCTGTTTGCTTATACAATTGACCCTTGAACAACAAGGGACTTAGAGGTACCAATCCCCTGTGCAATTATCCCTCATCACATATAAAGTTAATACCCCCAAAACTTTACTAATAGCCTGTTTTTGACTGGAAGCCTTACCAATAGCATAATCAGTTAATACATATTTTGTATGTTGTATGCATTGTATACTATATTGTTACAATAAAGTAAGCAAAAGTAAGAGAAAATATACTTACAATATTTCCAACCACACGGGGTTCAAGGGTCAGCTGACTGAAAAAAATCCACATAGAGGTGTGACTTTTCAAACACAAAGAGTTCAAATCTGTGTTCTTCAAAGAACAACTTTATATTGTTTAATTTGGATTTGCTCTGGAACACAAAATCAGGGATGATAACATTGTGTGCCTGCCAAGGGCCAAGAGTTCACTTACGCTCATCACCACTGCCCCTGGGAAGCAATGCTTATCTCCCTTCCACAGATGAGGGCTTATTGCCCAAAGAGTCACAGAACTTATTGCACCCCACCTTTGCATTACTCTGAACCAGTATGTTGACAGTCCTGAGCCAAGTCGTAGAAGCTTCTGCCTAGTCAGGCTCTTCTCGGGGAAGGTACCAGCCACTCACTAATGGCTGGTAGAGTGCTGCAGCTTCTTACTGCAAGAAAGACTAAGACTTAAGCTTCCTCAGGAAGCTTATGTGTCATATTCTGCATGTGAGTGAAATAATCTTGTTTTTCTATAGGATCACCCAAGATGAGACAGAGACCCCCACCTCGCCGGGATATGACAATAGTAAGTGGATCCCTTGCTACTGGGGAGGCAACCCCAACCTAACATTGGCCCCTTACACACTGATCTCCCCCTTTCTGAAGATGCTACCTTTCTGGTCCACACAACAGCCTTGCGAAACAGGTTGTACCCATTCACAGGTAGAAAGACTGAGTCCCCAGAGGTGAAGCTGTTTGCCCGTGACTTTGTGACAGTGTACCTTCCGGAGTGTGCTCTGCTGCCTGAGCCCACTTAGCTTTGCCATTAGTCAGCCTTCTCCAATAAAGTAATTTGAAAGTGAAACTGGGGTGAGGCACAAATATCCATTGTAGTGCCATTCTGATATTTTACTTTCATAATCATTTGCAATTCTTTTAGGTGACTTTCTAATCAGTTTTTTGAAAAACAAGTTTTGTTTTTTTTGATGCGTGAGGTGTAATCAGGCATTTGCTAAATGTCTGTCAATGCACCGGGTAGTTCATTACACAACTTAATGAATGCTGACAGGCACCCCACCTGGTAGATGCTGTAGTTATCCCCATTCCGCAGGAGAGGAAACTGAGCCTCCAGAGGGGAATGATTAACCCAGAATCACTCACGTCAAGCGATGCTTAATGACACGGGTAGGTTTCGAGAAAGGTGTCTAAGCGATTTCATCGTGTGCAGATGTCACGGAGTGTAATCTTACAACCCTGGATGGTCTCACCTACAACCACCTAGGCTGTGTGGGCTATTGGAACCATCACAGATGCAGTTTATCATTAACCAAAACGCCTTAAGTGACTCCTGTCTGTGTACAGCCCTCAATGCCTCTTCAGCTCAGTTAGCACTGTCTTGCCCAGGTGCAGGCAGGTATCCTGTGTTTCTTCTCATTGCTAAAACTAGAGGGCTGGTGACCCACCTAGAAGATAATAGTCTGAGAGAGCCTCTTTGTTTTGTCCCTGAGATTTCAAATGGGTCCCCTTGAGAGTGAATGTGTGCCCCAGTCCCTTGGGGCCATGCTCCCACCCCCAGTCCCCACCTCAGTGCCACGATAACACACTCAGATTTGAATGAGCGCTATGTTCAATGATACCAGCCTCGAGGTCTCAACCTGCCCAAGCCGCCCATCCCACCGCAAGTGGAGGAAGAGTATTACACCATTGCTGAGTTCCAGACCACCATTCCTGATGGCATCAGCTTCCAGGCCGGCCTAAAGGTTGAGGTGAGTGGGGGGCCTGGTGTCACTTTGCCTAATTGTGATTCTTGGTCCTGGCCACTGCCTCTTCTTTCTCTCTCTCTCACCTCCCAATTCCGTGTGTGTGTGTGTGTGTGTGTGTGTGTGTACACATGTATATACCTATATGCTTTTTTTAGTAGCAGCTTTATATATATTTATATACATATATACACACATGTGTATACCTATGTGCTTTTTTTTTAGTAGCAGCTTTATTGAGATACAATTCACTGATTTAACATGGAAAATCCAGTGGTGTGTAGTATATTTACAGAGTTGTGCACATGTGGACTTCTAGTGAGACCGGGACCTGGGACACACAGTGAAGGAAATCAGACATGGGTGACTGCTATGTCCAGCATGCAGTAAATCTTTATTGTTTCAGTGTTCATTATATACCATTTCAAGCACATTATGTGTGATTTCAAAGTGTACCATATGACACTTATCTACATGATTAATTATTCTGTATTACAATACTTTGGTACCCTGATCAGACTATTAGATGCCAATTGGCCAAAGTACACATGTCTATCAATCCCTTCTGTCCAGAACAAAGTGATTCCTCTTAAGCAACTAACTTACTCATCTACTTCTGGGAGCAGAGGGGCACGACTCTCTCCACAGGTGGCTTTCCGGGCACTCATCACCAGCCCCGGTCACCCAGAGGTTTTCCTTCAGGGCGCATGCGTTTAGCGCTCTGCCTTGGGAGCTCAGGTTTGAGGCCCAGTCGTTTGCTGTACAGAGTCTCTGCCAACATGCACATATCATCGAATCAATCTTTCCCTACCCAAAAAAGAAACTGAACACATTAGCTTTCCCTCCCTTTCCCCCACAATTCCTTGCAGTAATCCTGCCCCAGCCTAAGGCAACTGTTGATCTACTTTTGGTCTATAGATTTGCTTACTTACCACATTTTATGGTGTGAGTCGTACATTTTTATGGTCTTTCATGACTGGCTTGTGTCCTTTTTTCCCCCTTTTTTTTTAATAGGACAGAGAGGGCAAAACACAAACTGCCCCCTCTGAGGCTCGAACTCAGGACCTTCAGATTATGAGACTGACGCGCTGCCTACTGCGCTAAGGAGGCAGATCCGGTTGTCCTGCTTCCTGCTTTCCTTCTTGTTTTTCTCCTTTTCTTTCTACACCCTAGTTTACTGTGTTCCCTGGATAAAAGCCAAAGCAAATATTTTCTCGCTTCCATTTCTCTTTTCTTCCTCCATGGAGTTAGAGCTTAAGGTGTTTCCCATTTTGTTTTGTTTTGTCTCATTGCCTCGTTCATCAGGTCTTTATTCAAATTTAACCATCCAAAATGATTTGTCCTTTATAGAATAAACAAATTTAATACCCTGCAGCAAGCTTCTTCTGTGATGATTCCTTTTCTCTGGGCTTCTTTCAGCTGCTGATTTCTTGGTAGTTGCAACCTTTCTGCCATACCCAAGGCTTTTTTGGTTTCTTCACACTAGCAGGCTACTTTACTTTCTTCTGCTGCACAAGCTTCTTGCTTGGAACCCCCTTCTCTACAGATTTGGCTTTTAGTGTTGCTGCTGCTTTATCTGCCTGGAGTTTGTGATTCTTAGTGTGACAAACAGTGTTGTTCTGTCACATGTTTAAGTTGCTCACGAGTTAAACTTCAACATGATTCTCGGGTTCATCAGTAGATTCTTCAGTACTCTGTGATGAATCTTCTTGTATGGTGCTCAGAGGGCTCTTTGGACCTCTATACTTAGCAAAATTCTTCTAAGACTGTGTTGAACACCTTGTGCATGGGTGGGTTGTAGTTACGGTTGAGGAAGGCACCTTCTGCCAAGTGCCATACAGGTCCTCTAACTTGTGGGAAATATTTGCAGTCCAAAAACATTCCATATGACCTCCAGGAGCAAGTTTCAGTGTGCTTACATTAAGCAAAGTAACTCCAAGTGGTGTTTCTGAAAGTCTTGGTAATGCAGTTCTCCTCATTAGAGATGATACAGGAGCCCTGCACTGGGCACCAAGATAGTTTCTCATTTTGCAGTTGCCAGTGCTTGTCCACTACAAAGGCTTTTTGGATAACATGCAGGGCCTTAAGTTTCTTAAGAAGCAAAACAGTCTGTTGTAAACTTCAGCTTTATCTTCAACCACCAAAGAGAGTTCAGCAACTTCCTCAATATGATGACCTTTATATGGCCAGTGCAGGTAAGGCCCAGGCAGCCAGGGCAGAGTGGATGGTGTATCACTTCTGTGTCATGTTCACTGTGTGGTACCAACAGTGCCAGGTTTTGGTTGGCACAAACATGCAGCCCCCGCAGCCCATATTTCCAAAAGCACCCTGGCCAGAATGAGTCGCATTGCCTCAGACTTTGGGAATTCAGCACTCCCTGAAGAAAATGCCTCCTGACCTAAGTGTTAAACAAGAGGCTAGTGGCAAGTCAGCTCCACCAGTCCTCCAAGACTCAGCACTAGTTTGATGACCTGCTTGCTCACTGACAGCACAGAGCTTTCTGTTACTTTTGTCAAAGCAAAAGTTACTTGTGAACAAGGTTGATGATATCAACTGGGAGCCTTGAACACGACAGGCAAAGTCGCATTTTTGCCAGATGACCTCACTTTTGGGAGTACACGGATATCAGCAGGCGGGCACATGCCGTGACAGGGAGAGAAGGCCACGTTCCTCAACCTGGCAGCACCCACAGGAAAAGCTACTTTCCTTATTAATGGGAAAACTTTTAAGTCATGGGTTAGCAATGAGACGCTTTAGTGTCGTTTTCTTTTAGGAAGCAGGACTATTCAATTCCCCTTTCCCAGGTGAGGAAGTCTTGGCTCTTAAAAAGGTGCTACTCATCAAAGTCACAGCTCATCTGCGACAGAGCCAGGATTTGAACCTATGTCTCTCTCCAGATTTGAAGTGCAAGCCCTAATCCACATAGAATTTGAGGGGAAAGCAGAAATGCTCATAACGAGGAAATTGGACAGTTGGTCTTTTTTCATCTGCCTGACAATTAGAAAGTTCACAAGGACAGAGACCATAACTTTTTCTCACACCGTTTCCCCATAACCAGCACATGTAGGTTTCCGATAAATGATGAAAAAATGAAAGTTTGTCTCCCCACTAACTTCCTGCTTAACACTTAAAAGGTCAGGGAACGTTTTCTTCATGCCTGCCCAAAACCCTAAAATTGGGGCTGCACCATTCCCTTATGAGTGCATGAATGGTTGCTAAGTCAGTACAAAGGTGCAGCACATTTTCCCAGATTCTTTAATCACTCTCAGCCTCCAAAGCACCCTCTGTTTTTCCTCCAGTTTGACACTTCCTGCTTCTTTCTCTTTGCCTCTGGTTTCAGGACAGTTGCCTGGGGAACTCAAGGGTGGGACCTCACCACCCTTAAATATGCCCAGGCCTCCAAACACTTCTTAACCCACTGACGAAAAGCTGTCCACAGGAGTGTTTAAAAAACCTCAGCTGAAGCCACTCAAGCTAACTTTTAATCCACACAGAGAAATTAAGGAGAAATACCACAAGGTTGTGAAATGGGGCTTGGTTTTTGGGTTTTTTTTTTTATTTTGCCATTCTGATCTTTGCAACTTGAAATCTACAGAGAAAACTCAAAAGGCATCCTGCTTGTACTACAGGATAATGTGTGATTCTCTCATTTTGCTGTTTTAAAGCATACACCTTCAGTTCTGATGTCATGCTGGCCTTCCCCATCTCCCCCACCCAGTGAGCTTCCTTTCACCCAGCTCACTAGTCCTCTATCTGCCTTTATAGAAGACTCAATGCTATTTTTTTAAAAAGAATTATTTGTTTATTCATATAGAACTGGGGTACAGGCCAGAGATGCGGAGGGTGAGAGGATTCACAGAGACAGAGCGGAGAGCAGAATAGGCAGATCAATGAAGTACACTGCTGAGGGGAGCAGCGGGCAGGCCAGGAGAGGTCTGCCACGCCATGTGGATCTCCTCCTGGGCAGGCGGGAATCGAACTCATGCGGAAGTGGCTTAGGCTTCTTAGTGCTGTACTTTAACCCGCTGCGCCACCAGGGAGCGCCCTCAATGCTATTTTTTTAACTAAAACTTGCCACATCAATATCCAACTCATTTATCACTTCCCTGCCTATCTGGTTCACATAGGTTTCTCTTCCCAGACCTGTGTCAGCTTTCTGCCCTGGTGTCCCAGCCCTTAGCTAAGGCAGTCCTCTATACATAATGTTTTCTTCACAGTATGACAGTTCAGCGGGATTTCCCCTTCATTCTTCAATAACTGTACTTGAATTCCAGGTTTAAAGTCATCTTCCCTCAGCACTTTCAGTCTGTCGTCTGTTCTCTTCTTGCATTCAGTGTTGCTAGTAAAGTAGCTACTATCTGCCAGTTGTTGTTCTTTTGCTCATTATCAGTTGTTTCTCTGACTCAGAAAGTCCTTGTTATCTTTAAAATGCTGGCATTTTCACTAAAGTGTACTTAGGTGAGAGGTTTTTTGTTTGTGTTGTTGTTTCTTTTTTCATTTTTATCCCTCTTGACATGTTATATGTCTTTTCAACCTAAAACTCAGAAGGTCTGCCTAAGAAGTTCTTTAAATACTGACTCCTTTCTCTCTTTTTGTTCTTTTCTTATCAAACCATAATTACATAGACAGGGAAAGTTCTGCTCCTGTTTTCATGTCTCTTAAGTTTCCTGCTTTTCACTTTCATCCCACTTCTACATTCTGATCCATCTTTTAGCTCATTAATTTGATCTTTAACAGTTCAGTCTGTTGTGTTGCTGCTTTAACTTCAGCAGTTATAATCTTCATTTCTGAGAATTCTTCTGGATTCTACGTCATGTTCACCTGTTCTTGTTTCCTACTATCCTGTTCTTTTCCAAAGTTGATGCCCTCTGTGTCTCTCTGAAGGCTATTAAATATGTTTAATTTAAGGTCCTAATGTTACCGTTTATTTTCTCTTTCCTCAGTTATAAGTCCTTTGCAGTGGCATCAGTATTTATTTCAGGTCCCTTTATGGTGTTAGGACAATTCTTGGACGGCCTAAGAAAAGAATGCACACAGTCTAAGAAAAGAATGGCCCAGCTGGGGAGTGTACTCAAGATACTTATCAGCTTCCACTGGTTTCAGTGCCATGTCAGGGATTCTGAACCAAACACTGAACAATGTTAGACCTTTCAGACCAAAGCTCCCACATTCACTGTTCCCATTTGTGAACAATCACAAATTGGTTTTTTGGTTTTGCCATTCTGGTCTTTGCAATTTAAAATCTACAGAGAGAACTCAAAAGACATCTTGCTTTACTATACAGTAATGCTTTATGTAATTCCACCTGCCCTACAGGTATGGGGTAGGGGGTCTAGAGAGGAGTTAGCCAGTCTGGCTGCTTCTACCATGTTATCCCCAGTAAATGCCATCACTGCTGCTGCAACTCTAACCCAGGCTCCACCACCTTGAAATCTGGCAGTGTCAGCATTGCCCCCAAGTTTTGCAGCAAAACCTCTGAGCCATCCTGGACCACAACATCCATGCACCAGTGTGATTCCTCACAATTTCTACTAACTTTCCCCCCTTCTTAGCTGGTCTTTGTATCCCTTTACTCAGTCCCTGGATTTGTTGTATAATGGGGAAACTGCTGTTCATTCCATCTTCCATCTTGAAACTAAAAATCTGGGTTAATCTTTTAAATCAAGGTACAGTTTTTTTGTTTTTTTGTTTTTTTTTTCTCAGAGAGCTGTAAAAATCTTATAAGTCCTCCTTTAAGACAAAGAGTCTCCAGCCTTTTGTACAAACACCATTGAACATTTGCTAATAAAGTGCCACCACTCCTCGACTCAGAATATTCCAACATCTGCCAAGTAAGCTCAGGATGTCACAGGAAATGCACTGGAGCTGAGGGTGGACCAGCATGTAATAGGAAGTTAATGGATCCCTGGGGTATTCTAGAGGTGTTAGGGATTCTCCCTCCAGAGAGACTTCAACACCCATTTCAGCCAGAACCGTTCCCCTTTTTTGCTTGTTTTTACCTTTTTTCCTGTCTATTTTTGCTAAAGTATCCAACTGTCACCGCTCTTCCAGGAAGCACACAGTCACCTGCCCTTGAGACTTCTCTGCTTCTTTGTTCCATGGTGTCTGCGTAAGTTCTTTGAAGCACACTTGAGAGACTCGAGTGAAAAATAGCTTTTGGTTTAACCAACTGTTCTTTCCCTATGATAAATTCTATATCTTCCATTTTCTTTTTCTTTGAATTTGCTTCCTGGCTCCATGTCATCTTCACCCTCAGAATTCCTTACTGGAACCTTAGGAACACCTTAATTCCTTCTTGAAGTTCAATTGTATCTTTAAAACATGTTTTAATGATGAAGAGGATGATGATAAAGCTGCAGTCACTTCGGTGCCAGGTAGATCTTAGGTAGTTGCTATTAATCTTCACTCAGGTCCTAAGAGGTTTATATCTTCAGATTTTACAGATCTACATGAGACAAATTAGGTAAATTGCTCAGTGTCACATAGCTAATAAGTGGTCAGACAGAGATTTGAGCCCCAGTCTCTCTGAACTTAAACTTTTGCCGCTTTTCTTTCCCCTCATTCTTGTAATTTTGCATTTGCTTTTATTTATAGTAGCTCTTACCTTCTCTCTAGTAAATGAACACTCCCATAAATTATGTTTAAGAACACAATGTTAGCATTTCTGCCACCGTATTTTGCATAGAATATAAGCTTAGCAAGTCCTCATTGATGTATTTCACTCTGATTATTGACTTGGATTTACTTGCTCACAGTCAGTCTCAGTGCTGCCATGACTCACATGCCAAAAATTATCTTTAATTGTTATTAGAGCTACAAGGTTGGTAAGATGCTGGTCACCCTCGATATGAAGAACTTGCATTTACCTATACCCTTTCCTGGAGAGAGTCCAGTGAGATTGTTATGTTTGTGCCTAGAGTCTCATGCACCCTGCTTTTCCAGTGATCACCCTTATAATTTAATAAGTAACATTTACCTTTCAGCACTTGCTAAGTGCTATTGCATGCATTAGCTTACATAGACATTCCAAAAATCCTGCAAGTGGGTGTTATCTTTCTTGCTGTCGCCTGTGTTCTGTGGTGGGGAATCTGTGCATGGAGCTTGGACAGAGTCATTCAGGCAGCAAGTGGTGAAGCCAGGACTAAAACCAGAACTTCAGCCCAGGGCCTAGCCCCTGCTCCCAGAACGGAGTCTGTTCTGAGTCTGCCCCACTCCTCTCTAGGCTGGGCAGCAGCCTTTGCCCCAGCACTTTCTCACCCAGGCATGGCTCCTCCCCATACTTGGTCCTCTTTCCAAGGTAGGATGTGGTGGTGAAGGCTGGCACTTTAGAGCCCCCTTGCCCACCTTTGATGCCTGCCACCACCGTTGACTTTTTGCTTGAACCTCTGTGAATGCCTCCGCTCTGCTGAAGCTCAGTGCTACACCTGTAAAATAGGATAAGCCCCATCTTATAAGCAGTTGTGATTATTGCATCTACGCACAGAGCCTGATGGGGGATTGCAGTGTATTCGGTAACTCTGCAGATACCACAAACTGGGTGTTTAAAACAACAGAGATTTATTTTCTCACAGTTCTGAAGGCTGGAGGTCTGAGATCAGGGCATCAATGGAGTTGATTTCTCCTGGGCCTGCAGACAGCCGCCTTTCATCCTGTATGTTCTGTGTATTCTAATCGCCTCTTCTTATAACAACTGCATTTTAACTTAATTACCTTTTTAAGGGTTCTGTTTCCCAATACAGTCGCATTCTAAAGTACAGAGGTTAGGACTTACCTGTGTAGGGGTGGTGGAGCAGGGTGCAGTTCAGTCCATGACATGCAGCGTACACACCTTTCCCCTGTGAATTCAGCGATACCTTATGAACAGAAAGGAGAGAGGACACATAAGACCTTAATAACCTGGGTGATTCTGCCCACCATTCCTTTCAATGCACCCCATGGTCCCATGGACTCTGGCATGCCATGGTCCCCTGTGGAAGAAGATGACATGAAGGTTTGTCTTGCCTCCATCAGCAGCAGTTCCCCTACGTCTAAACATGAGCTCAGTGTGATCCTCACGTTCAAGGAGATGATTTCTCATCCAGCATGGCCAAGACCCCAGCCAGCTCCTTCTGGTGCTCTGGTGAGAGCAGCAGTGATCAAGGCTAATTGAAGCTGTATGTGGGTTTTGCCTTGAACTCCTTGAGTCATCTCAGACTGTGCTGACAGCCCTGCTGTGTCCAGACCTGCCTGAGTGGACTGCGGCTACCCATAAGTCCCTGAAGCTGGCAGCTCCCCTGCTAAGGGGAGGGACTAGGAGTCGAGAGACAAATGTCCCCACCCACAGTGGACTGAGTCTGAGTTTCCACGTTCTGTCCCCGGGTCCTGGTGAAGTCAGCCCCAGCGGCCAAGGCAGAGCCTGCTCACCGCTGGTTCCTCACTGGTATCTCCTCAAACCATCTCTCAAGTTAATTAGCTGGACCTAAGTCCTTGTCTCAGAGTTCCTTTGGGATATCCAAAGTTAGACAAGAATCTACCCCTCTAAGATATTCCTGTAGCGTAGCAGTCTCCACAGACGGTCTGCCATTGATGTTGTCCAGGAGCCTGCTGAGTATAAAATCCCACTCCTAGAATTCCCATTGAGGTGAGTTCTCCTAGATCACTCTGGGCTTCCAGCCCTGGGACCAGACCTACTAAGTGCTGTCTTCTGTCCTTCCAGGTGATTGAGAAGAACTTGAGTGGCTGGTGGTATATTCAGATTGAAGATAAGGAAGGATGGGCCCCAGCAACCTTCATCGACAAATACAAGAAGACCAGCAATGCCTCGAGACCCAACTTTCTGGCTCCATTGCCCAATGAGGTGACCCAGCTCCGGCTGGGGGATGCAGCAGCGATAGACAACACAGGCAGTGAAGCCATAGGCCCCTCCCGGCCCCTGCCCGATGCACCCCATGGTGCTGTGGACTCTGGCATGCCGTGGTCCAAAGACTGGAAGGGTGGGAAGGAGATGCTAAGGAAGATGTCTTTGGACATGTCCTCGTGTGCAGGCTATGAGGAGATCTCAGACCCTGACCTGGAGGAGAAACCCAGCCTCCCACCCCGGAAAGAATCCATCATCAAGTCAGAGGGGGAGCTGCAGGAGCGGGAGCGGGAGCGGCAGAGGGTGGAACAGCTCAGGGGCTCTTCACCCAAGCCTCCTGGCATGATTTTGCCAATGATTCCAGGTAAACACGTCCCCCTCTCCCGGGACAGCAGGAGACCAGAACCCAAACCAGATAAAAGCAAGTTGTTCCAGCTGAAAAATGAGATGGGGCTGGAGTGTGGTCACAAAGTACTGGCCAAAGAAGTGAAAAAGCCCAACCTCCGGCCTGTCTCCAAATGCAAAGCTGACCTCCCCGAGGAAAAGCCAGAAGCCATTACACAGAACCCCTTCTTGAAGTCCAAACCTCAGGTTAGGCCCAAACCAGCTCCTTCCGCCAGGACAGAGCCACCTCAGGGCGAAGACCAAGTGGACATCTGTAACCTCAGGAGCAAGCTCAGGCCTGCCAGGTCCCAGGAGAGACCCTTCTTGGATGGGGAGAGCAGCCACCAGGCTGTTGGGGGTCAAGACGGGGCCTTCGGCCGCAGCCTTCTCCCTGCAGAGGGACCTGGCCGTGCCCAGGACCGGACAGGCAAGCAGGATGGGCTCGGCCCAAGGGAGGTGGCCTGCAGAGCCCCACCCAGGCCAGCCAAGACTGCAGACCTCGTGCCTAAGAATGCTCCCAGCCCTCTCCAAGAGGCTCTTCAGCAGCGGCCTGTGGTCCCACCCCGGAGACCACCTCCCCCCAAGAAAATCTCCTCATCATCCAGGCCACTTCCAGAGGTCAGAGGCCCCCTCCCAGAGGTCAGAGGGCCCCTCCAAGAGGTCAGAGGGCCTCAGCGTGAGGCCCATGAAGGCAAGATAGCTCCTGCCCCAGGCCGGGCACTGCTCATCCCTCCAAAAGCCAAACCTTTTCTCTCCAACTCTTCTGGGGGCCAAGAGGACTTGCGAAGCAGAGGCGGGCTGGGACCACGCGGGACAAGCAAAGTGGGAGAAAATCGGGAAAAAGTGACCACGGCCTCTCCCCTCCACACAGATGGCCCAAAGGACTCTTTATATGTGGCTGTGGCCAACTTTGAAGGAGATGAAGATACCAGTAGCTTCCAGGAGGGGACAGTGTTTGAGGTCCGGGAAAAGAATAGCAGTGGCTGGTGGTTCTGCCAGGTCCTGAGCGGAGCACCCTCCTGGGAAGGGTGGATTCCTTCCAACTATCTCAGAAAGAAGCCGTAGTCTCCTGCCTCCTGCCTGGAGGTCCCACACGCCCCTGGTGGCTTTACCCCATATTTAATATGCCTCTTAATTTATCATTCTCCACACAGCTCCGAAGGATGGCAGACTGGAGCACTGTGGTTTCTTCCCTCCTGGGGGTGGAGAGTGATCCCCCACCACAGCATCCTCTGGAGACTCAGAGGCCACACCCTTGTTTTTCTCCATGTCAGCATCGCTGCCTTAAGGCCGCTGGAATTGCCACCAATGTCCCTGCCCTCCCAGCAGCAGGACCCTGATGCTCCAAACTCTCTAGGACCAGAGCTCCCAAACTGCAGGAAAGGGCTCTAGTGGCTTGGACCAGGCATAGTAAGGGGCAGCCCTCCTTGATGCCCCGCCCAGTCCGTGATGACTTGCTCTGCATCCTCCTGTTTCTTAGAGCTCAGTGACTTTATTCATTCCGTTTCCAAAATGCCTGTTACCAGAGTGAACATCCAGTAGAAGCCGGCTCCATAGCCAATCCCAGGGAGGTGTCCTCTTTCTGAGGCCTCAGGTCCACAGGCCTCTCAGGGTCAACCAGATGCAGCTGCCCCAAGAGTGGGCATGGAGGTCCACTGGGCCATCAGCCTTCATCGGGTGTCATGGGACCCTGATCGGTCCTACAGGGGTTGTGCCAGCCCCAAGCTTGAGTCACTTTCCTCTGCAGCCTCCTGTCCATCTCAGACTTTGAAACAAGAACCCATGCCCCTTCTTGGAGCATTTTACTCTTGTCTACCTAGAGCAAGAATCTTCGGGTTGGCTTATATAAGAGGGTCTTGCACAGGCTACTCGCCTTATGAGATTCCCCTAGCTGAGTAGCAAGTAGGTGTTAATTGCTGTCCTTGGCCTTTATAAACAACCCTCTCGTAATATTATTCCCTTTTTATTGATGCAGAAACTTGGGCTCAGTGTGCCTGGGGCATGCTAGCTAGGAAGAGGAGGAAAGAGGTTTTGCCATCAATGCCTGTGCCCTTCCCTCTGGAAAGGCGAGCCAGAACGGGGAAAGGAGCTCGTTATGAGACCTACAGGGCTTCCTTGTTTGGTTTGGGTGAGGGGCAGTTGGTGGCTGTTCCCACAACCAACACCACTCCCACCCGCTGCCACATAGACAGAAAGCTACTCCTGACCCAGGTGGTAGGCACTGAGCCCTATTCCCTACTCCTGAGCTGGTGCTCCCGCTGGGGGGTGGGTCGGGGAGCTGAGATGGCCTCACATGCCAGCCTCCAGGGGCTCTGGTGGCTCAAGGGCCAGCAGCTGCATCTCCAAGCTGGACATGGCATTCCAAAGTCCCAAAAGGAGCTAGGGGCCCAGGGCCAGACGAAAAACTGCCCTTCTGCTTGGCTGCATCCTGCTACTTGACACTGGTAGCGAAGCTTTCTTGTTTTCCCCCATGGACTCTCCCTCTGTTGTGCCACTAGGAGGAAGCCAGGGAAGCCCTTCCACGCATGCTGACAGGTATGGTTTGCTGAGGTCTGCAGGCCGTGGGAACCATCAGTGCGCCTGTAGCCCCCACTTGCCAGGGCACTTTGCAGGAGCCTTGGAGGGAAGATGGCAGCCAGGCTGGGAGAGAGCCGCTAACATGTTTCTCTGAGTTTTTAATCCACTTTGGTTTAAATGGCCTTTGTGAAGCTGTGCTGCAGGATTTGCTATACTTCAAAACACAAATTTTTTTTTTTTTTGCTTTGATTTGCTTTCTGCATTCGTTGACCTTTTCATTCATTGTGAGCACCTATTAGGTGCTAGGTGCTAGGTAGTCCATGATGCATGGGACTCCATGCCTGGCTGTGGAGAACTGTGAGTTTTATTTGCTGATTCCACTGAACAGGCTTGTCTTTGGCCTCATTCCCTCCTCCCGGGCAGCCACTGGGTGGGAATGAACTGTTCCCACCTCTCTCTGGACAGAAAGTTTTCCTGCAAAGGAAAGAACTGCCTTTTTAGTAGTAGTAGTAGTAATTAGTAGTATAATAGTAGTAGCAGTAGTAGTATTCTGATGTGAACTGAAGGTACCGAGGCTACATCCCTCCCTGTTCACTGTCTTTCCTCAGGACACTCTGGCCTTGAGGACACCTCTCTCCAGCTCCTACCACAGCAGTGGGCACTTCCCTTGGCAGCTGGAAGGTCTTGATGGCCAGTGGCCCTCCCCAAGCGCTGTCTTTGCCTGGGCACTCAGGTTCATGGCAGCCGGGACCGTGGCCACTATTCTGTAAGAATCTTTGACAGAACATATTGCAAAACTCTTGGAGTTCCAGTCATGGGAAATGTCCCAGGCCAACAGCAGAACTCCCTGCCAGGCTCCGGGCAGGTCAGCAGTGCCTGGACCCACCCCATCCTTTATATCTGAATCCTCACAGCAATACTGTGAGGTTCAGAGGACCAGTCCCCATCTGCAATGAGAAAACAAGGGGATGAAGTTACTGCCCTGTTAGATGCTCCCCCATCTAAATAGTGATGAGCTGAGATTGGAATCAGGTTTTTTTCTCCCCAATGCCCTTGACTGCCTCTGCCATCAGCAGCGAGATGACCATGCAGCTTCCAAGGAAGCAGCTGACCTCTCTGAATTTAGGTTTCAGCTCCCCCCTCCCTCCACCCCATGATCATGCATGTCAGTGGGTCATAGGTCATAGGTCAAATGCCAACCCCAAAGGCAAGCAAAGGTAGATATTTTATTTTTGCCTTTTTTTCAGTCCTGCTTCCTTCCTTGTAATGACTCTCTAATAACCTGGGACAAAACTATAGCTTGTGCCATTGTATCTTTGGAACAGCCACGTTTTAGGAGCACTACTTGATTTAAAAAAAAAAAAAAAGGTGGAGAGGGCCTTTGCTCAGATTGTTCACTCAGTATCTCCTTGCCCTCTCAGTCTATGTCCTTGTCCCAGGCTCAGACTTGGGGAGAGCTGGGCTCTAGTTCCACCCATTTTTAATGTCCTGACCCACTGAAAATTGCTAGAACCACAGCAGGCTTCCAGGTGCCATGGAGGGTTCTGCCCCAGAGCCCCTGTGTATCATCCATCTTCTTTGGCATTTTTGGCCTTAAAACATTTTGATCCCACTGGGGATTTCTTTGGGTTAAATATAGCCAAGTAAACTTGCTGCCTTGGAGAGCAAGTGCTGGGTCTCCCCAGGGTCTGGTAGGACCGTAGAATAAGGGATGGGACAGTCAAATTCAGCCTCTGTCAAGTACCCAGCACTGAGTGGGGTAAAAAAGACATTGCTCCCGTCCTCAAAATAATTGCCAGCAGACATGATCAAAAACAAAAACATCGATGGCTTGTCCTGTGTAGTCATTGTGCCTCATCTCTTAAGTGTTGGATCAGGCCACCTCGGGGAAGTCTTGGCCTTGCGTGGCTGTCCAGGCACATCCTTCAGAGCTTTTGCTACAAACAGCCATAACAGACCATAGACCAGAGATTACCTAAATGTCAAAAGTGTGTGGCCTGTTTAAATGAGGAATTGGCTGTATGGAGGCCTGATGGTGTGGGATGCGCTTCTCACCCTGTAGGCTTCCTCCTAATTTGGCTGAGGTTCTAATGTCTACACAGACCACAGCCCCGAGATTCCCTGGCCAAGTGGTGTGACCACGGTTCAAACCAGGAGGCTCCACGGGCTTCACTTTCCGAGGAACCCACAGATTTGACGTCCAGCTCTGTGAGGTAATAACTGGTTTCTGGGCCTACCCTGCCAAGTTATGGAGCCTCTCATCTTGCTAAACATTCCATGTTCCTCTCCCTTTCATCCTCTATCCCATAACTATAGTCAGGACAAGGGGCTCAAGCTCTGTTGTCCTTGAAGAGGCCAAACCCAGTGCCACAGCCAGTGGCCTTCACGTTCAGGTCTATAAACCTGTCCCAGCAGGTTTGTTACAGCAATAAGCAATCCTAATACAGCTAAAGTGACCAAGTGTATCCCAGCGTCTGCCTGTCACTGCGTTGGTGCCATATAATTGATGGCTGTGCCCCTTGCCCTCTTACAGGGTGATGACAAACTAAGGCCACCTTAGCTACAACTCACATTCCCTGCTTCAGGGAGTCACCCAGTAACAAGGCCATTTGCATCCCTCCAGAGACGGTGGACACTGACAACATTGCCTCATTTCTGCTTTTGAATGACCTGGATGTCCCTGGATTTCTCATTACTCTTCATGCCCTCATGGCAAACTGACACATTTGGTGGTGGTATTTGTTTCCTTTTAATATGAAAAAATACATGAGGATATATAATGTGAGGGGGGAGGGTGATGGACAATTAGTTGTAGCACGTATAGACTATATACCATTAGAATTTTTCTTTTTTTTTTTTTTAATAAAAAATGTGCTTGACTGGTTTCAAGCTTCATGGTGAAATGCAGTGTGGTTGGTTCTTATTTGAAGAAAGGGTGTGCAGCTTTGTGCCTCTTGAGCTGGAGTTTGGGGATCAGAGAACAGGAAAACCTGTGTGAGCTATGTTTGGGAATTACCCAGAAATAGGGGTGACCCCACTACCAGGTCCTCACGTACCTTGCATTGCACTACGGTGTCCTAAAACCAAGGGATGCTTTGTTGCATTCATTGGGTATCACCCACATATTCTCAGCTTTGTGCCCAAAGGTGGAAAACTCCACTGTCCAGGGAAACTGTAGCCCTTGGTGGCATTTCCTGGTGGCGAGCAATGGAAAACTCATAGGAGGGGGTTTGGCCATAGTTCGAAGGTGGATGGCACTAACTGTCATTTTACTACTTTCCAAAGGGCAGAGATGAGGCAGAACCAGCCCCCAATATTAAACGGCCATGTTCCTGGGTAGGTCTTTAAACAAAATGACACAACTACCCCAACTTCCTAGAGAGACAATCAGAAATGCAGAGTCACTGAACAAAGGAACTCCAAAGGATGACATACAAGGCAGCCTTCCTTGGAGGAAACATTTTAAAGAATACAATGAACTTTCAGTGACTTTGCTTAGAAATAATGGTCATTCGTGTAATAAACTGTCCCCATAACAAAGGGAAATGATAATGTGTCTCCATACTCCCCTGGGAGCATTTTCTTCCAAGTTTTCCAAACCAAGAGTGCTGCTGCTTCACAGGAATACAATTGACAATGGCCTAGGCTTCCCGGGGTGGGCATGGAGGGTCAGCTGGGCCTCGTGGGATGGGGTGGGAAGGGAGAAGGGACGTGAAGGGTCATCTGGGGTGGGAAGAGAGGAAGGACGTGGAGGGTCACCTGGGCCTTATGGGATGGGGTGGGAAGGGAGAAGGCCAACCCTGTCATTCAGGGCCTCTTACTCAGTACCTTTCTTCATGTCTCATTTGGGTTGGGCACATATGCCATTCCTTTTGTGTTCTAGAATGCCACACCAGACATCTGGATTCTGCACCTGCAAGCTTTTCCTCCTCCTAAGGTGATTTTGTACATCCAAGATTCTCATAGAATCCCTTAAAGCCTAGGTTATTTAATGTCCATTTAATATCCATCCCTGTTCAAGTTCAGTATCCACCTGGTCCAGGTAGAATTCCTCACCATCTTGCCAGTCTCACCACCCAATTAATGGCTCCCAAATTTTAGTGACCCTTCCTATGGATAAGCCAGTGAGCTTATCAAAGTGCACCTCCTGGACTTTACCCCCTGAAAGTCACAACTAGCAGGAATCTGCTTCCTGAAAACACTCAATGTGTGCAACTCTCCATTTGTGTCGGTGCAAGCATCTTCTACCTTCTAATAAACCTAAATTTTTCAGATAAAACAATAAAAACTCATTGTGGAGTCTTTCCATCTGACGGCAGCCATCAAGTAAGCCAAGGTGAGCCCTCAACAAGTCCACCCAGGAGCACTGGAAGAAGTCCCAGAGTGGAAGAAGTGACTTCTCAGAGTGCGCTGCAGTCAGTACCCCAGTTGGCAGTGCTCCCAGGGCCCTGCCCCCTACCCTGCCTGGCCCCACAAAGCACACAGATTGCAGGTTTCCCTCGTAGCACAGGAGTTCAAGTCTCAGCACTAGAAAGCCATCACCAGCCATTGGAGCATGAGTTTGATTCCCAGCTAGGGAAGTGACCCACATGGCACAGCAGACCACCCCGTCTCACCCGTTGGGCCCGTTAGCAGTGTATTTTAGTAGATCTGCCTGCTCTGCTCCCCTCTCTGTCTCTGGTGAATCCCCTCACCCCCACATCTCTGACCCACACTCCAGTTCTTCTACACAAAAATAAATCTTTTTAAAAATAAGTAAAGCAAGAAAAAAGAAGAAAGGAAAAAGAAGAAAAAAGGAAAAAAAATTAAGTAAAGTGGCCCTCCCTGGTGGTGCAGCGGGTTGGAGTGCAGCACTAAGAAGCTAAAGCCACTTCCGCATGAGTTCGATCCCTGCCTGCCCCGGAGGTGACCCACATGTCACAGCAGACCGCCCGCTGCTCCCCTCAGCAATGTACTTCGTCCATCTGCCTGTTCTGCTCCCCACTCTGTCTCTGGTGAATCCTCTCACTGCCCCTGCACCTCTGACCTGTACCCCAGTTAAAAAAAATGAAAAGTAAAGCACACAGACTGGGTTAGAAGGCCAATGTCATGTCACATATCAGTTTTGTGTGCACCTTGGTGGCTGCAAGCACCCCACCCTCTCCTAAGTTGCAACCTACAGCAGCCTGTCCATTGTGGCGCTAATCTGCTTCAGTTTGCTGGGGAGTCTTCAGTCTGTTACTGACCCCAGAGACTGGATGCCACATTGGGCTCAGTGTCCCAAATTGTTACTGGGCTAGTGAAGATTCCACATACAGGTTCTTGGGGGTTGTCCACATGGATCCAGTCCTCAGAGATCAGAAGAAACCCTGGCACTCAGTAGACCACCAAAAGATCCACAGACTCAGAATGATGTGAGGATGTACATCAACGGACCACAAGAGTCATGGCCTTGGAGAAGGCCCAACTTCCACCAGACGATTGGTGATATTCCAGGGAAGGCTTGGAGAAGGTGCAGTACACTCTAGCCCCACCATTACTGCTCTAAGTGATGTATGTGCAATTCTTACCCAATAAACAATTTAGGACACATGTACACACACACAATGAGGAAACTGGCTGTATGTGCTGCTTTTGAGAAAAGGTCAGACTCAGCATTTTGTCTGGAAGAGTCTAATCTGTTCAGAAATGGTGCTTTATACACTTATGTTCAATATCACTACTATTTTTCTGAGCCTTGACTGTGTGCCAGGCCTGTGGGCCACTTCACATTTATTTTATCTGGTCCTCAAGATGCTCTGGTAGCACTACACTTCAGGAAGGCAAAGACAGTGTGTGATATGTCTTATCCCGAAGCTGACTCTTTCATCCCATGGGTCTCCTCCCAAAAGCTAACCAACACACATTTTCATATCCTGATAAAATTATTTCCTGGATTCAAGATTTTATTCAAGAAATACTTCCTCTTTCCACAACCTAATTCTGTCACTAAGGGACAAGGTCAACTTCTGTTGAATACTTGCTATTGACTTGCATTCCTTCCAGATGGCATCTCTTTAATCTCCATTAGAAGATTCCTCTGGGTAGGAATTAGTATACCCATTTTGAGGATGAGGAAATAATAATCTGAGAAGTGGTTTGCCTGTGGTCCCAGCCAGAATGAGAATGAACTTGGATATCTAACTCCAAAGTCCCTTATATGCATGGGCCAGCACAAATCCCAAATCTATCATCTTCCTGGTCAGCATTTTCCAAAGTGTTTTCCAGAACAGACATCAATACATAATGCCTGAAAAAAAAAGTGTTCTGCAGACACTGCCTGAGAAATGCTCTGTGAAGTAAAGTTAAGCAGCTTTTAGATTGCAGGACTTTTTTCTATTTTTTTTTCTTTTTGAAGTTTTCTTGTATGATAACCTACAGTCTGAATACAGGTGGGTTTCTCAAATGGGCTTGACCATGAAACCTTTCCCAGCATTTCGTGTCACCAACTCTGGAAAAGATCAAATTTTTTGTTTCAGCTCTATTTTGAATTCTATCTTTTGCTGATTCCCTCCCTGTAATTCCAGTTGGAAATCCATCCTTCATCAAACCTCTTTTTTTTTTTTTAAGATTTATTTATTTATGCATGCAAAAACTGGAGTACAAGCCAGAGGTGCAGGGAGGTGAGAGGTTTCACCAGAGACACAGTGGGGAGTCGAACAGGCAGATCTGCTGAAATACACTGCTGAGGGTAGCAGTGGGCAAGACAGGAGAGGTCTGCTTTGCCATGTGGTTCAGCATCCTGGCTAGGAATCAAACTTATGCTGCAGATAGTGGCTGAAGATAGCTTCGTTGTGCTGCGCTTTAACCTGTACCACCAGGAAGGGCCTACAACCTCATCTTCTGTGTTAACATTCACACCATCATGAAAAGACCTACTTTACTCCTTTGACTGGAGAGCTGCTCATAAGCTTCAAGATTTCCTACTTGCTGTTGGTCTAACTTGGAGCTATCAGAATGGGTTACCCCATAGTAAGGTCACCAGACCTAAGGAAACTTCAGAAAATAGTTGCCAAGAGTAAAATTTGTTTTCAGCCTTATAACCAAGTTTTCCTTTAGAGGCCTGTACATTTAGGTAAAATTCAGAGCATTCAAAGTTGGGTTAATAAAGTCCAGGTTCATGTCCTTTCAAGAACCACAAGTCCCAGTTCTTAAAATAAACTATTTTCTCTGACTCTCCTTCCACTGCTTGCTACTTGGCCACACACTTGCACAGCCTAAAGTGAACTTCCAGTGGTTTTCAGGGTGTATGGAGCATCATTACAAATGTTTACCATATAGGCCCTCCCTGATGGCATAGCAGGTTAGAGCACAGCACTAAGAAGCTAAAGTCACTTCAGCATGAGTTCGATCCCAGCCCCAGAGGTGACCACATGGCGTGGCAGACCTCTCCTGACCTGCCCGCTGCTCCCCTCAGCAGTGTACTTCGTCAATCTGCCTGTTTTTCCTCCCCACTCTGTCTCTGGTGAATCCTCTCACCACCCCTGCACCTCTGGCCTGTACCCCAGTTCTGTATGCATAAATAAATAAATATTTTTTAAAAATGTTTACCATATAAACAGACTATAACTACATAGCATACATGTATGACTAACGATATAACAGTGTTAGGTTGTAAGCAAGTACAACTCTTACTCACCCTGCCTGGCACCCCCCTTCCACATGAAGGGAGTTCCATTAGCAAAACTCCAATCCCCTTCTCTCATTCCTCAGGGGAGAAGGGCATCTTTAGGGGAGCAGGAGCCAGCATACAGAGCTTAGCCACTCCCTCTCTCCTGCTTGGGATTAGATGTCCTCAGGGAACACCCCTTCCACTAGGTCCTTGACAGTGGGAGGCTTAGAGAGAAAAGGGGACTCC